ATGCCGTAATTGTCACCGTTTTGGACATAAGGAGGGTTACTGTACACCGCAGAAAAATTCTTCGGTGAGGAACAGAAGTAGTCGTTTCAAGCCGAAACAATCTCCTCGAGTACAGACCGTTTTCACTACTTCCAAAGTCGAGTTCGCCAGCAAACGTAAGTACATAACACTAGATATTAACGGCAAACGTATTCGTCTTCAGTTGGATACGGCATCAGATATCACCGTAATTTCCCGAACTACGTGGCGCAAACTTGGTTGCCCACAGATTCTGCCGACCGAGCATGTCGCCAAGAATGTCTCTGGAGATATACTGAAACTCGTGGGTGAGATAAATTGCCAGGTTCAGTTTGGTGAGCATCACTTCAATGGTGTATGTTACGTTACAAACTACCATGATTTGAATTTGCTTGGTCTTGACTGGTTAGACAAGCTCCATATCTTTAATGTACCATTAAATTCAGTATGCTCTAATGTTTCGTCTTCACCACACAACGTTGTTCCCGGAGATGTATCTGATCAATCTCTCTTGCAACGCCGTCGTCAAAAGCACGCTTCTGTCTTCCAGGACAAACTTGGTTGCTGCAAACTGTTTGGCATCCAGCATATTCGTAGCCCCCCGTATCATCCCCAATCGAATGGACAGACTGAACGTTTCGTCGACACCTTTAAGCGTGCTTATGCAAAAGCGAAGGGGGAGGGAACAACAGAAGAAATTTTGGATAAATTCTTGCTGCATTATCGTACGAATGAAAAAGGACAGTTATGTGTCAGACACACAGATCACGCTCTATCCAGTACCACGCAAAGGTCAACTCGACAAAGAAGAGCTCCGAAACCTTTTCAAATAGATCCAAAAAGCAAGTCCTACACTCTTTACGGGGAGAGGTGATAGGATCCCACATATTTTGGTATTGACTGTTTAATCTTGCATATATGGTATATTATCATTCTCACACATTTTGGTAGTGACTGTTAATCTTGCATATATGGTATATTATCATTCCCACACATTTTGTTATTGACTGTCAATCTCGCACATATGGTATATTATCATCTCTCACGCACTTTGTTATTGGCTATTAAGATAAATTATTTCAAATGCTGTTAGCTGTCCATATTGTTGTAAAATGTATAAATACCATGGCTTTCTTTATCGTTGTTGCACTTCAATACACAGTCACAGTCCAGCCTTTGTCTTTTGATATTTGCGTGCTTTACTAAATCGGAAGGTACGACAAGCAGATAGGCAGATTAGTTCAGGCGCAGACAGAGCAAGGTGAAAACGTCTTCATTGAATTCCCTACAGTTATAACAAATTGGCGACGGGGTTTTACCTTAATTCATTGCAGTTATAACAGATGGTCTACGATGAGTTAGCTTGCCTTGTGTAACCGGAAAGTCCTGACTTCGAACCCAGGCGATGAGTGCGTACTACCGAAGAGTGCGAAACTAGGACAAAGGTGTTAGCTGTCCAATACTCCCCAGTTTCCAACAGTCCTCTAAATGATATCAATCCATGATTGAACTTGAAAGCCAGTAAGTTATATCTCCAGTATTTGAATCAATAGATAACATCATCCTATACAAAGTTTCAATTTTACTTTGATAGGCTCACTAGATGTAGTAAGTAAGCAATATCATTCGTCTCATCCACCGGTGTTGAAGCAGACTGAATTCTATCGCAGTGTACTTTAAAATGATGATGAATCCATGTAACCTAAACGGTAAAAGCCGCCCACGTTCAGTGTCCTTAAAAAACTCCTTTAACATGAATCTTCAATTCATTCGAGATTCATTTGCGGACAAACGGGAAAAATCGACTATCCCATTCACTTAAGAAAACCTTCTTCGTAGCTGAACTACGACGATTGACTTTCTCCACAAAACCTATGATTCGTATGAACGTGAAGGATAAGCTATCACTCACTGCTGGCCACCTCATCAATGTGCATCTACCAATTCACCTGTTCGTGTGGAGCCAATTATGTCGACCGTACCCAGCGTTCGCTTTAAAAACGTATCACTGAACACTTACCAGCATGGCTTTACAAAGGAGAAAAACGATACCGCCCCCCCTCCCCCCACAAGGCTCTATCTTAGAACACCTCACATATTCCAGACACCAAGCTACACTCCAAACAAACTTTAAAGTCATTTACAGAATACAAAGCAGTCTTCCTAAAAGTTTACGAATCAGAATTCTTCAAACTGCAAAAGCAGTGGGAATTCACTTGCTAAGGCCTGAAGTCTGCATATAGAAGAAGTTCGTTCAACCACTACACTTGCAATGAACGTAATCTACCTTATTTCCCGACAGGTAAATTCTACTTACTATTCTTTTCTGTCTCTTCAATAGTATTGTTTTGTCTTTTCAATTGTAATATTTTACATTTTCAACTTTCCTGTTCTCTACCCCCACCCGATTTAATTTCTACACTTCATTACCATTGTTACCGACTTAACGAACACTCAATTCCTAGTCATTTATGCTACGTAATTCCATTATGGGTAAATTTTGTTTTGATAAAGTCTCACAGTGTTATACAGTAATGTTTACTGATGACCACGTTTCGAGCACAATTTATTGCCACTCATAATCATATCAAGGTAATCACACGACTTCCTAAATTCATTTATATAGTTCCATTGTTTTTCTCTTGATTTTCACTTGATTTGATTGGCAGTAGTATTTTCCATATTTCAGGTATGAGTGACGAGTCATTCCTATTGCATGTGTTGGGTGTAGACTCGATGAACAAGGATTCAGTAATCATCGAGTCTACACCCAACACATGCAATAGGAATGACTCGTCACTCATACCTGAAATATGGAAAATACTATTACCAATCAAATCAAGTGAAAATCAAGAGAAAAACAATGGAACTATATAAATGAATTTAGGAAGTCGTGTGATTACCTTGATATGATTATGAGCAATAAATTGTGCTCGAAACGTCATCAGTAAACATTACTGTATAACACTGTGAGACTTTATCAAAACAAAATTTACCCATAATGGAATTACACTCTACCACAGTGCACAAGTTTTATTCTTATATTTATGCTACGTCATCCAATTTATTTACTGAACTTTAGTCCTAATTAAAATGGCATTATGCGACGGTGGCACAGCAATTAGGACGCTCGCCGACCGTACACAAGGTCCGGGGTTCGATCCCCAGCAGACGCACTCCTTTAACTCGCTAAGTCAGAAATAATCCTGGTAAAGAGGAAAGGTTTGGCATGAGGCACGCTAGCAACCCCATCCTGTAAAATAAACACTGCTACAGAAACTTCAAGCCACTAGCTTGAGGCCCTACGTTCCACTGGGAACGTGAAGGAAAAAAAAGGCATTATACTCTACCCTACCTCCACTTAGTCTCTACCTGTAATTACCTCTGTTGCTATCCTGACCAAAGTTGAAACATTTTAGTCAATTATATTACGTCATCGAACTTACTAGCCAGCTCAATCTTACTTTAGTTGCTGTCTAATTAACCTTGTTTCTATATCAGATGATTCTTGTATTACCTGATTAATCATCTAAACGGGAAAATTATGGAAGCCTTCGAAGTGAGAAGTAGAGTGACACAAAGCTGTCTACTATCGCCAATGTTCTAACTGATTGCAGTAGATTGGATAGTGCGACAGATAACGGGAAATGAGGGAACAGGCATAAAATGGACTCATACAAAAAGAGACTTGGAGGATCTGGACTTCGCCGATGACATATTTGTCTGATTTCACACAAACTGGAAGATATGCAGGTGAAAAGCAACAAGCTGGAAGAAGAAGCATCCAGAGAAGAAAGGAGTTCAGGTGAACATAGAGAAAACAGAGGTAACTGATGAAGATTCCTCGCCAACACCAACAGCCACACCACCACCAACAACAGACAACAATTAGCCTGCATAAATAGGAGGAACCTGAAAGAAACTACCTCCTTCACCTACCTACCTACCTACTTGTGAAGCGTCGTTTCAACTACAGGCCGACGGAACTGACGAGAATATCAAAGCCAGAATCGGAAAAGCAAGACAAGCTTCCATTACTCTTAAGTCAACAGCACTCAGAATCAAAAATAAGATCCGGATTTTCAACTCCAATGTGAAGTCAGTCAGTGCTACTCACTATACGGATCAGAGACTTGGCCAGCGCGTCATGAAGAGCATCTCAAACAAACTACAGACCTTCATTAACAGTTGTCTCCATCCAATACTTCGCTCATGATCAGATGGCCGGCTATAAAAGATCACCAACAGGGATCTCTGGGAATGAGCGAACCAACACAGCAGGAACCGATTGTGAAACAAATAGGCAGGAAGAAATGAAGATGGATTGGCTGGCCATACTCTGAGAAGCCAAACCATCAAGTGACATCACTAGACAAGCCATCACTCGAGTGGAACCCGAAAGGAAAGCGGCGAGTCGGTCGTTAGTGTGAGGGTGGGGTGACATGGAGGAGGCCATGTGAAGAGGAGATGAAAGCGTGTGGGAAGACTTGGAGCAGGGTGAAAAAGTTGGCAGGAAACCTAAGGCAATGGAGACGCTCGGCTGAAGCCCTATGTTCCTCTAGGAACTGAAGGATATAATAATAATAATAATCTAAATTTGACAAACCTCATGTACATATATATATATATAAACGCGATCGTACAGTTATGTGAATGAATTCTCCATCGAAAAGAGTCTCTTCGCTGAACATCTCATTTTCATACGTTAGATTATTGTAGGCAGTCGGCAGGAAGCTCTGGGGATGCTCTAGACGTGTCGTGCTTATCACTGGCACTCACTCAACCCCCACCCCTAAGATACGAATCCACGTCATCTAGTGCTACTACTGGTAGCCAGAGAGATAACCACCCACAAACAGTGGTGTTCAATCTTCAGCAAAATTTCTACCTCAAATTAACATTCACATCAAAAGATCTCATATACATGTATTCATCATTTTCTAATCACGGTGCATAGGAGTGGAGAGATAAAAATGAACGTCCTCTCATCGTAATTGTTTATTTATTTATAAAACAATGTCTGTACAATAAAACTACACAGCCGAAAGACTATTGTAGACAAGTTTTCATTCTCCTCTTCTCTCGCTTTATCCCTCACTCACTGACTGACTCATTCACTCACCGAAACAGTTGGTTTAACATTTTTATTCTCATTCGATGAAGTAGTAGTGATCTTTCCATTCGGTAGACCTAACACTTGTAGACAAACTAACACAGCAGCTTGTTCAGCGTACCTTTTCGATTTACATCTGAAAAACGAAGAAAAACAAATACAAGTTGATCAGAAAAGATGACAGAAAGGGGTAAAAAGCTTATCATGGGTGATGATGAAAAACTACATGAAACTATATATATATACTACTGATGAACTGAAATCAGTAGTTGCATACCACACTTGGTTCATTAAACAAGACTACACAGCTCATCAATGGTGTACCTGAGTTTAGACATATCTTAGGGCGAGGGGAATCACTTCAAACTATCCGATGGACTGACTGACTGACTAACTGGTTTCAACATGGAACTTTGCACAGATGTGCAGAATTTTGAGTCGACACACTCCCTCCATGTAGCACACAAAGCAAGAAAAGAAGAGAAAGTAGAAGAAATGCAAACTACAGACAGTAAACAGGGATATGAGACAAAACGAATGGTAATAAAGAAGGACAATATAGTTCCATTGATTATTATGAGTCACAAGGAGTGGATGCATCTGCGCCAACCAGCCATTGAGAACGATTTTGAGCTAGCTAGCTATATCACTGATCGTCTCCAGCCTTCATTGGTTTTTACCATTATCCTGAGGACCCCAACCAGTCAGTCAAGAAGTCTACACACCTCCCTAACAGAGGCTTACACTAACTGTTGTGGATTTCATTAAATGATACCACTACTAAGCTTTCTCGTTTCCTACCTCATCGATTCTATGTCAGCTAACATTTTGCATTGTTGAGGAAGACTATGGCCAGGCATACTTAAGACATGTGTCCTAACCATATCTCAATTGCTGTAACTTCATAATCTCGTCAGTTGATTTCCCCTCCGACCTACCTAGGGCTCAGTCGATACTTAATACTATATTACTTACCCTATAATGCCACAACGTTACACGGGAAATAGAACGCAGACATCTATGATCAAAGATAGCTAGCTAGCCTATTCATGTCCACCTGAAGTCCTATCTTCTCTGGATGCTACTTCTATCGCCAACTTGTTGCTTCTCACTTGCATATCCTCCTGTTTGTGGGAAATCAGACATATATATGACATCGGCGAAGTCCAGATCCTCCAAGTCTCTTTTTGTATGAGTCCATTTTATGCCTGTTTCCTCATTTCCCGCCGTTGTCTGTCGCATTATCCAATCTAATGCAATCAGGAAGATCATTGGTGATAGTAGGCAGCCTTGTCTCAATCCCGTCCTCACTTCGGAGGATTCCGTTAGTTTCCCATTGTGGATTACTTAGCATGCAGCATTGTCGATTAACTGTTGGATGAGATGTATGATTGTCGATGGAACTCCGTAGTAGCGAAGTAGTTCCCAAATCACCTCTCGATCGACGCTACGCTATCGAAGGCCTTTTCAAAGTCGATGAAGTTGAGATAGAGAGGTGACTGCTATTCGAAGCTTTGTTCAATGATGATCCGTAGTGTGGCGATTTCATCAATACATGACTTGTTTCTCCTGAATCCAGCTTGTTCCGATCGAAGTTTTTCATCCAGCTTGGCGTGTTCGATTCTCTCCAGGATGATGCGGCTTAGCATTTCGCTTGGAATGGACAGGAGCATAATTCGACGCCAGTTTTTGCATTGACATAAGTCTCCTTTCTTTGGTAGTTTGAATAAGTATCCTTTCTTCCAATCCTCGGTTACTTTGCCCTCTTTCCACACCTTCTCCAGCAATGGCGTCATCAAGTCCGCTGTTGTCTCTGGGTCTATTTTCAAAGCTTCTGCTGGGATTCCATCTGGTCCTGGTGCTCTCCCAGCAGATTTTAGCATCTTGATTGCATTCTAACCATTTCTACCTTTTAAATATGTATAGACCTTTATTACTCTAAAATCAGTATGGAAATCTGCTACATTTAACATAAAGAATAATGTTCACATTTTCAACACTGCTGGAGGAGGACAAGTCAGTGAGACTTGACACTTCACGAAAAGATTTTCATTAACAACTATCCCCCTCCACTCTAATATTTGAAGGTGAAATGGTTGATCGAAAAAGAGTAAAGCAACACAGGAGACCAATCAAGAATTCATCACCTCAAAGGGAAATACACAAAAGGAAACGGCTCGGACGCACACACTGACAAGACGGGGTTAGATAACCCGAGGGAGAAACAACGTGTTTAGCGGGAGATTGAGCGTGACATGGAGGCGATCATATGAGGAAGCGGAGAAGGAGGATATGAAAGCTTACGGTAAATCGTAGAAACATCCACAAAAGACTGCACTGAAGTGGCAATACGCTGCTGTATTCCACACAGAACTCAAAATAACACTAAATATTAGCAATATTAGTAATAATAATAATACACAACTAAATGAGTACACTTACGCGCTTGTGTTTCGATAACGTTTCCCGTCGACTAAAACAGTACTGAAGAATGACCGTGAATCACGATGTTCAATCTACAATGAACCAGCCAAAATAAAGGAAGCAAAAAAGACAGTTAAAAAGTCACAACACATTGACTAACTGAATGACTACATCTCAGTGCAGAAGTGAAATATTTCAAGTTTCCACACTCCACATACAGTACACAAAGGCAAAGAAAATACAAGCGAAGAAGAGGTTCAAAAGAACTATGAGGAGCAGATAACCTACAGAAGAAAGAATTGAACAACAGTTAAAAACCAGAGAGGGTGTTAATTCCTAACTTAGCTTCTTTGCTATTCTACCTTTTTTGTCTTCAACTTTATGCTACTTACTATTAGTAAGTAGTTGTTTTTTTTCCTTCACGTCCCCCAGTGGAACATAGAGCACCTTCAAGCTAGTGGCTTGAAGTTTCTGTCACAGTGTTTATTTTACAGGATAGGGTTATTAGCCTGCCTCATGCCCAACCTTTCCTCTTTACCAGCATTATTTCTGGCTTAGCGAGGTAAAGGAGTGCTTCCGTGGCCGGGGACCGAACCCCGGACCATGTCCATGGTCGGCGAGCGTCCTAACCGCTAAGCCACCGACGCATATTACTAAGTAGTATGACCTTTATTTTGTTTTTACTTCTTAAACATAACTTTGTTCGTGATTGAGGTTTAACTCATTTAATATATTTACCGACAAGTTGACGGGGTCATCGCGGTTCACCTCTAAGACCTATTCTAACCGACATCTTCATGGGTTATCTCGAACAGAGACGACTAAGTGACGCCATCAATGAGACAACTTACTATCGTCGATATGTCGACGTTACGCGAAGTATCCAACGGTTGAAAAGAAGAAAGTGTTTGCCAAGGAATATGAACATTGAACGTTGGTTCATTGACCTTGGTAGCCATTGGCGGGCAACTCGAAGGCGCAAATGGTTCAATCGTGTACAATTTGGAAGAAGACGAAAGAATAAAAGTAAATTATATTTTGTATAAAACATTTGTTTATAGACCTGTATCTCTCTTTACTTTAATTGCCAAACAATATAACTTTCAAACGATTACTGGTGTTTTGGAGTTAAAGTCGAGAAAGGTACATAGTAATTATCGGTTCGGAGAGTCTTCGTAGCAATAGGAACTTAAGGTTAAGTTCCTTGATATGTTCATTTGCCTCCCAATTGACAAAGGAGAAACAATATCGCAAAAGATTGAAAAGCGAATGAAAGGATCAATAAAGAGATGCTTTTCTGCAGCCAAACCGATGACACTATACAGTACTCTATAAGCTCTATAAGCCAATCAAAACTGGATAAGTACTCTGACGATATTACATCCAACTCCATTTACAAATTTACGTGTACCTGTGGCAGCAAGTACATTGGAATGACAGGAAGAAGGGCTTCTACCAGGTTTTCAGAGCATATTCCAAGAAACTTATGCCTAAAAGGAAGCAGATATTTACAAAGTGCAATTACCAGACACTCACCCTGCCTGTGGATATGAGACATTTTGTCGAGATTTCCAAATCCTTCAAAATATTAAACATACAAAGGACAGCGAATCTATTACGATTTGGTGCTGAAGCAATTACAACAATCAAACATCTCAGACCAAACTTATGCATAAAGACAAAGAGAGAGTCTGTAGTCAATCTCTCACTCCCTTGGTAACCGTATTACTTTCAGCTCACTGATTAGTCATACCACACTAGTGAGCTCAGCTCACTGAGCAAGTTTTCAATTTGATGAACTTTAAAACCTTCTTGAGTTGCCATGGTGACATACTAGTTAACACAAGTTAACAAAATTTTTCTATTTTCTGTCTTCTTTCACCCCCCTCCCTTCCTTCTTTTTTTCATAGTTTGATAGTATATAAATTGATGGTCACTTAAACTAAAGTTAGTTGTAGTACTTATATTCCAGATGCGTTCATCTTATAATGCTTCCTCTATTACCTTTCAAACATTGAAGTATGAAATGTTATTATTTATAACCATTGTAATTTCAGGTAGTGGTGTGCAGCTGATGAGAACCTGTGAAAAAGAACGACGATATCATTTTATACTGCAAATCTGGTCTTTCTTCCTCTCTATCGAAATTTATCAAGGGAACCAAATGCCTGAAATATTCACGGTCAATTTGATGTATAATTAATTATTTTCATATAGTCGAACATCATTTGCTGCATATGCCTTACTCATTGACCCGTCACTGTTGAACATTGTTTATTTGTATCCTTTTATTTTGTGTTTGACATTCGCGCGCGCTGTTTAAATAACACGTGGATGGCTTTTAACACAGGTGTGTCGTTTTTACCTTATTGACTGTGCTTTTTCTCACGGCATTCTGGCACAGACACCCTAAAATTGAGGTTTGTATATTATATGTCATATTTTATGTTTAATATAGTGCAGTAGATTGGATAATGCGACAGACAACGGCGGGAAATGAGGAAACAGGCATAAAATGCACTCACACAAAAAACAAATTGGAGGATCTGACCTTCGCCGATGACATATATGTCTGATTTCCCACAATCTGGAGGATATGCAAATGAAAAGCAACAAGTTGACACAAGAAGCATCCAGAGAAGATAGGCCTTCAGGTGAACATAGAAAACAGAGGTAGGTGATGAAGATTCCTGGACAACATCAACAGCAACAACAACAGACAACAAATGGGAGGAACCTGAAAGAAACAAACTCCTTTACCTATCTATCTGGGAAGCATCGTTTCAACTATAGGCGGACGGAACTGAGGAGGATATCAAAGCAGTTAGCATCCGGACAAGTTTTCATTACTCTCATCTATTCTGTGTGGAGGTCAACAGCCCTACTCAGCATCAAAATGAAAATAAGATCCGGATTTTCAACTCCAATGTGAAGTCAGTCAGTGCTACTCACTGTACGGATCAGAGACTTGGCCAGCGCGTCATAAAGACCACCTCAAACAAACTACACACCTTCATTAACAGTTGTCTTCGCTCAATACTTAGCTCAAGATCAGATGGCCGGCTAGAAAAGATCAGCAACAGGGAGGGATTTCTGGCAATAAGCGAACGAACCAACCAACCAGGAACCGACTGTGAAACAAATAGGCAGGAAGAAATAGAGATGGATTGGCTGGCCATACTCTGAGGAAACAAACCATCAAGTGACATCACTAGACAAGCCTTTGCTCGAGTGTAACCTGGCCGAAAGGGAAGCGGGCGGCGAGTTGGTCGTTAGTGTGAGGGTGGGGTGACACGGAGGAGGCCATGTGAAGAGGAGATGAAAGCATGTGGGGAGACTTGGAGCGGGGTGAAAACATTGGCAGAAAACTGAAGGCAATGGAGACTCGCAGCTGAAGCTGTATGTTCCTCTAGGAATTAAAGGATATAATAATAATAATAATCTTGTGTTTTCGGACTTCATGCGCTCGATTATTGTCCTGAATTTCTTTTAGAAGAAGTTCACAAAGAGTTCAGTAGATATTCGCAATTACAGAGAATGAATGCATCACTGCAACACTGACAATGATTTTTGAGTCATATCATCAGATAATGTCTCCAGCCATTGATACTTAGCGTCCCAAAGACTCTCGCAACAAGGGAAGTCGTCTATATCTCCCTACATCACCTCGAACCAACCACCACCTGTGAGAGATTTCGTGATATGATGTCAGGTTTGGATTTGACTACCTCTAACTGATGTTCAACCCAACCTAATATTAGATAATATCGATCGATGAGGAAGGCATCAATTCGGCATGAGTATGACGTGTCCTAACCCTTATAATCAATACAGCTTTACAACCCCCATCGGTTGACTTACTCTCCTTACCTAGTACTAATCTACGCTTAACAATGAATATTACTCAGCATATTGTACCACTTAAGAGACGATATAGAACACAAGCATTTGCACTGGATGCAGAACTCCGCCCACTCCCTTCGGAACAAGCTGGATTCAGGAAAGGCAAACCACCAATTGCTGATCAAATTGCGACTCTATGCATCATTATCATCGAACGAAGCATTGAGTGACAGTCAAACCTTTACATTAACTTCATCGATTTCGAAAAGGCCTTGGATAGCGTTGAGCGTGAGCAATATTGAGGTTAGGTGTCGAGTGCTAGGTAAACAGGGAAATCAATCGACGAAGTTGTGAAGTTACAAAGACTGAGATGGTTAGGACATGTGTTACACATGCATGACTAGTCACTGCCTTCCTCGACGAGCAATGTAAGCCAGTATAGGGTCAGGCTGGAAAAGAGCTAGCGGCGGTCAAACAAAAACATGGCTTCACCAGTCAATCAAATCTACAACAGTTAGTCTAAGCCAGCCAGTCACGTAGGAAGGTGTAGACTTCCTGACTGACTGGTTGGGGTCCTCGGGACGGTAAAAACCAATGGTTGGAAACTATTGGTGATATGGCTGACTCAAAATCGTTGTTCTCAATGGCTGGTGCAGATGCATCCACTCCTTGTGACTTATGATTTCCAATGAAACTGTTTTGTTCTTCGTTATAACTATTCCTTTGTCTCACATTTCTGCTTACTGTCTCTATTATGCTTTTCTTGTACTTTCTTCTCTTTCTTTGTGTGGTACATGGAGTGGAGTGTGGCGAATTGAACAGCCGCACATATGTGCAAAGTTCTATGTGAAAAACAGACAGACAACGTTGACTGAGAAGTAATTTCGACACTCATCCAACACTACGGCGTGAAGTGCACCATATCTTTATCAATCTCATTCAACAACAGTCGGCTATATGACAATGAATGCCACGTGTCACTCAGGGGGTCCACAACGGAAAACTCAGCGAAACCTGGCTGACTTGCAAGTGAATACAGGAGTCAAGGAGTCAAGGTTGCCTGCCTACTATCACCAACGATGTTATTCCTAATCGTCGTCGATTGGATTATGCATCAGACGGTGGAGAACGAGAAGACAGGGGCATGGTGGACCGATAAGAAGACTTTAAAAGATCTGAATTTCACGCGTGGATGATTTATGTTCAATGTCACTTACACAAACTCAAAGGCTTCCAGGTGGTAGGAGAAAACCAACAAACTGGCAGAAGAGGGGAGGCAGGCAGTGAACACAGAATTCCAGCTGAACACAGAGAAGATAGAGGTGATGAAGATAAACAACCAACCAATGAACAGCGACATCAACAGTCGGCACCAGTCACCATCAAATAGAGCGATTCAACAGAGGTTACTTCCTGCTTTCACTTATCCATCCAGGAAGCACAGTTTCAACCACAGGCACACGACATGGATGAAGGTGTCAACACAAGCCATCCAGAAACGGAAAGGCAAGATACGCCTTCATCAATGTGAAGTCAGTTTAGAAATGTTCTGCACTGCACTCCGTCTCAGCATGAAGAACAAGATTCGGAATTTCAACACGAATGACAAGTCAGTCAGTCAGTCAGTCAGTCAGTTACTGCTTCTATACGGGTCATAAACATACGCTGCGTGTCACAAAAATGAATTCTGAACAGTAAGTGGCAAACTTTTATCAACCGTTGCCAACTTCGCTGGCTGGCTCCATATTAAAGGTTAAATGGCTAGAAAGAATTAGCAACAAGAAACTCTGACTGTCTGGCTGGCTGGCTGGGAACAAACCAACAGGCGAGAGCTGACCTCACCACAAATATGTAGGAGAAAATGAAGATGGATGGATCAGGCAGGCAGGCAGGCACACGTTGAGGAGGCCATCAAATGACATCTCACTCAGTACAGGCCATTTCTCGAGTGCGATCGTCACATCGAGAATGACATGGAGGAGATGAGCAGTCGTGGACCAAGCTGAAATGGACGGTACCAAATAGAACAAAGTGGAGATGTGTTGTTCCACTCGGAACCCAAGAGAATAATAATAACTATTATTACCATGAAATTCATGTTAAATTTAAAAAATTACGCTTCACTAGTGAGTCGCATCATCCTGGAGAGAATCAAGGACGCACTAGATATAGAACTCCGACCAGAACAAGCTGGATTCAGGAAAGGCAAATCATGTTCTGACTAAATTGCAACTCTACGCATCATCATCACAGAACAAAGCATAGAATGGCAATCAAACCTAACTCTACCTCAACTTTATAGACTTTGAGTAGTAGGCCTTCGACAGACAACGTTGACCGCGAAGTAATTTGGAAACTACTCGAGTAATACGGCGTGCAGAGCCCCAAATATTCATCAACTTTATTCAACAGCTGTACGACAATGGCACATGTCAAGTGATCCAAAACGGGAAACTCAGAGAGGCGTTTGGAGTAAACACAGGAGTCAGACAAGGGTGCTTATTATCACCAATGAATGATATTCCTAATTGTGGTGGACTGAATGGATTATGCATCAGACAGTGGGAAACGAGAAGACAGGGATACCCTGGACCGACGTGAAGAACCTAGAAGACCTGGATTTCACGCACGGATGATTTATGTTTGATGTCTCACAAGAAATCTTTATTTATTTTTTTTTTATTTTTGATTACAGCTTGATTCCACACTGTATTTTTGGTACAAGTGTGGAATTTTCAGCGTGGATATCGGTAGCCCAAAACTCGCAGGCCGACCATAGATATCAGGTGTGCGTCGGCGTGGGCTCGAACCCCGGACCATGTGTATGGTCGGCGAGAGTCCTAACCACTGTGCCACCGACGCATCGAAGACTTACAAGCAAAAACCGACCGACAAACTGGTCGAAGAAGCAGCCGGCGAAGACAGGATTCCAGGTGAACATAGACAAGATGGAGGTTATGAAAATAACCAACCAACCAACTAACAACAACGACATCCAGCGCCAATCATCATCAACGGGAGGGATTTGAAAGAGGTTACTTCATTCAATCACTTATCTAGGGAGCATTGTCTCAACTACAGGCAGACGGAACGGATGAGGATGTCAAATCGAGTGAGAATTGGGTGGTGGGCGAGAAACACATCAACATCAACAACCTGAAACCAATCTGGAAATCTTCATCACACAGCCAGCATCAACAACAAAATTCGGATTTTCAATACAAAAGTCAAGTCAGTTCTTCTATACGGATCAGGAACTTGGCGGGTGGGTCACAAAGAATATTTCCAACAGCCAGTTGCAGATGTTACCTTTATCAACAACTGTCTTCGCTGAATCTATACTGAAGATCAGATGGCCGGGCCGGAAAGAATCACCAACAAGAAACTATGGGAACAAACAAAACAAGAACCCAACAAATATGCAGGAGAAAGTGGAGATGGATTGGACACTCGCTGAGGAGGCCGCTAGGTGACATCGTGTGCACGTTATGCAATTGCTCGAGTGGAACCCGGAAGGGAAGCGGCGACTGGGACGTCAGTGCAAGGGTGACATGGAGGAGATCGTGTGAAGAGGAGTTGAAAGAGTAATGACTAACATGGATGGATGCAGGTGAAGAGTACAGCACAGCAGAAGGAAGACAGAAGTGGCAAGTGGAGACGTGCAATTGAAGCACTATGTTCCACTAGGAACCCAAGTGAACAACAATAATAATAAGTGAAGTTCACGCAGATGGTGTGATCATTCCATCATAATAAGCTTCGATAGTAACTTCCTTCTTCTTTCGACGACTTTTAGAATAACATTCACAGGTAAATATCAAAGAAAAAGAATGATGTGTAATTCCACAGCAAAAACGAAGAACAATAACACTTACAGTTTCATATTTAGGTGATTCCCATTTCAATGATTTACAATATTCCAGGAGAATTTGTTTTGGACTAGTCCCGTGTTCAGGCCAAAATCTACGTTCATACGGGATACATAGGACTATTTCATTCTCATTACTAATACCGTCTACTTTAGCGGTATTCAATTCTTCGTCGTTGTCTATCCGTGGTCGTTTCTCTGGACATGTCAGGGATTCATCAGACACAGCGACAAATGAAGGCGGTAGATGAGTTGTACTTTCTTCATTGTCAGAAGTTGTATCATTGTTGGTGCTAGTCATCTTCAACTTCTTTAGACGTTCTGATCGAACAGACAGTTCACGATCATAAACATCCATCATTTTCCAAATAGCACTAAAATGAGATAGAAACAGGGAAATATTAAGAAAGAACTAGTAGCAATAATGTCACCATTGAAAATTGAACGCAGGAGTTGATCAAAAAGGTTATGTGGGTATACAGAAATGCGCGGAAGTGTGTTGCGTGACCATGGAGCCCCCAGGGGACAATCGCTTCACGTTGACCATACACAGATGCTTTCACGCTGTTCTTAACTTCAACATCGCAAAGTTGGTCAAGATATAGAGTTTTAGGAGTCCACCTTATCTAACCGACATACCTGGACTAGGGAAGTAACATAGCTGGGCTCGCTAATCGTCCGAAGGAAACACCTCCCCGAGCTCTGTTACATACCTATTCAACAACTACTGTACAACTTCGCTCTCAGACGACACTCAAAACACAGTTTGAACAAATTACACGATTTGTGGTAACTGCTTTCAGTGTAACCAAGCTATCCAAACAATCTATTACTGGCATGGTTGAACCTGCAGGAACTTTCGTTCAATCCAGTGTGCCGCATTGAGTCACTCCGATATGCAGGTTCGACCAAACACACGTCAAAAATTTTTTTTAGTTTGTTGCTTTATTTCATTTGTTGTGTGAGGGCTGAGATACTGACCGGACGCCCAGACCGAAACAGGTGGTTTTCTTAAGGGGCCACCCCCGAGCCTTTGACTTGGAGTCTAATCCGCAAGGCAGCGGAACAGCGTCAGGAGTTGCATTCCCATGGTTGCCGGTGACCCGTATGGGTTCATACATCATTTGATCCGATTGGATTCTGGAGCCCATGTACACCATGGCAACTGCTTTTAGTCTAACCACTATCCAAACAACCTTCCTGACATGGTAGGACCTGCAGGAACATGAGTCCCAGTCAGTGTAGCTTGTTGGGTTATCGCGAAGTGCAAGCCCGACCACCACGTCAAGGTATCAGCTATCAGTCAGGCGAAGCTGTGAAGCTACATAGACTGAGCTGGTTAGGACATGTGTTACGTATGGTAGTCTAGTCACCGCCTTCCTCGATGGACGATGTTAGCTGACATAGCATCGATGAGGTTGGAAAAGAGAAAGCCAGCGGTGGTCAAACCAAAACATGGCTTCATCAGTGAATGAAATCCACAACAGTTAGTTTAAGCCTCTGTTAGGGAGGTGTACACTCCTGACTGATTGGGAAATCAATCGACGAAGTCGTGAAGCTACAAAGACTGAGATGGTTAGGACATGTGTTACGTATGCCAAGCCATCGCCTCCCTCGACGAGCAATGTTAGCGGATATAGGGTCAGGCTGGAAAAAAGCTAGCGGCGGTCAAACAAAAACTTGGCATCAGTCAATGAAATCCACAACAGTTGGTCTGAGCCACGTAGAAAGGTGTAGACTTCCAGGTTGGGGTCCTCGGGACGGTAAAAATCTATGGTTGGAAACAATTGGTGACATGGCTCAAAACCGTTCTCAATGGCTGGTGCAGATGCATCCACTCCCTGTGACTTATGATCTTCAATGAAACTGTTTTGTATTTCTTTATTACTCCTTTATCTCACACCTCTGCTCACTGTTTCTATTATGCTTTTCTTGTACTTTCTTCTCTTGCTTCGCGTGCTACACGGAATGTGGCGACTTGAACTTCCGCACATTTGTGCAAAGTTCTATGTCGAAAACAGACAGACAGAGACAGACTGATTGGGGTCCTCGGGACGGCAAACACTAATGGCCGGAGACAATTAGTGATATGGCTAGCTCAAAATCCTTCTCAATGGCTGGTTGGCGCAGATGCATCCACACCTTGTGACTCATAATAATCAATGGAACTATATTGTCCTTCTTTATTATCATTCCTTTTGTTTCATATCCTTATCTACTGTCTCTATTTTGCATTTCTTCTACTTTCTCTTCTTTTCTTGCTTTGTGTGGTACATGGAGGGAGAGTGGCGACCTGAACTGCTGCACATCGATGCAAAGTTCTGGGTTAAAAATAGACAGAAATATATGGTGGGATGAATTTTCTTTTGTTTTTTGATGTTGGCTTGTTGTTGTTAGTGTTATGACTCGCGATTAAACACTTTTTGATGAAATTGTGAGAGGGGGGATATCCATTCTTTTTGAAGACGATTAGTAGGTAGGTACCCTTGCCTTCATTCTCTTCAACACAGAAGTAGTGCCACAGTGTGTTTGAACTCTTTTAATATATTAAATATTCCCATAGTAAAATTTCGAACGACACATTTCAACGAACAACATTGTTTTCAATTAGATCTCATCAGGCTTAATTAACTCTAACATATACTTCTTTTTCCTTCACGTTCCCAGTGGAACATAGGGCCTCAGCCTAGTGGCTTGAAGTTTCTGTAGCAGAGTTTAATTTTACAGGATGAGGTTGCTAGTCTCATATCCAAACTTTCCACTTTACCAGTATTATTTCTGGCTTAGCGAGGTAAATGCTTTAATTCATTCATTGTGTGCGGGCTGAGATACTGCCCGGGCGCCCAGACCGAAGCAGGTGGCTTTATTAAGGGACTTGGAGTCTAATCCGCAAGGCAGCGGAGCAGCGTCAGGAGCTGCATTCCCATGGTTGCCGGTGACCCATGTGGGTTCATACGCCATTTGATCCGATTGGAAACTGGAGCCCATGTACCCCATGGTAACTGCTTTTAGTTGAACCGCTATTCAGAAAACCTTCCTGACATGGTAGGACCTGTGGAGACAGGGTTCCAGTCAGTTCAGCTTATTGGGTCATTGCAGTATTCAAGCCCGACCACCACGACAAGGTAGCAGTTATCGGCCGGGGGCGAGGTAAATGAGTGCGTCCTGTGGCCGGGGATCGAACACCGAATCATGTGCATGGTCGGCGAGCGTCCTAACCGCTGTGCCACCGACGCACACAACTCTAACATATATCAGTTCACAAATAAAAATTCAAATATAAATCAATCATGGTGATTTGTCTTTTGTGTTTAGTGATTGGTGGCAGTGTATACAAACACAAAGATATCCACAAAGCTACATGGGTGTCATCAGATGGGCGAACCAAAAAACCAAATTGACTTCATCACAATCTCAAGGAAGTGGAGGCGCAGCCTACTGCACACAAAAGTAAGCGGAAGCAGAGCAGACGTTGGCTCAGACCACTAGCTCGTACAAGGGACAATCCAAATCAAATTAAAAGCTTTCAGGGAAATAGGAGCTGTAGATAGACCACAAGCCAAGTTAAACACTCAAAAACTGAAGGACCAGGCTTCAAAGGACATCTTCACTGCAAGCATTAGGGAGAAAGCCGAGACACAAATCAACACCAGCGAAGAGGTTGGCGTCGAAAAGCACTGGGACAACTTGAAAACGGTGTGGAGTAAAACCTGCATGGAAGTTCTAGGCAGAAAGAAGAGACAGGAAAAACAGTGGCTCACTACGGACACTTGGAAACTAAGGAAAGAGAGAAGGATGGTGAAACAAAAGATCATCCAGTGCACTGACGAGCAACAAAAACAGGAGTTGAATTCAAGCTACTATACACTGAACAAAAGAGTAAAGAAGAGTGCCAGAGAAGACAAAAAAATATTATGAAACCATGGAAAGTGAAGCGGAACAAGCTGCAGGCAAAGGATACCTCGCCACACTCCACCAAACAACTAGCCACCTATCGGGAAAAAGTTCGACACAGATTAAGGCAATAAAGGATGACAATGGAAAGTCAATCACCAAAGAGGTGGAAGAGGGAAAGCACTGGGCTGAACACTTCAAAAGACTTCTAAATCGTCCGCCACCTACAACACGCCCAACAATACCAACAACGGAAGCAGAACTACCAGTGAACATTGACCCCCCGACAAAATCAGAAGTCCTGGATGCAATCAAGATGCTAAAAGCTGCGGGAAAGCAGCAGGACGATACGGCATCCCAGCAGAAGCATTGAAAATGGACACAGAGACAACAGCGGACTTGATGACGCCATTGCTGGAGAAGGTGTGGAAAGAGGGCCAAGTACCCGAGGATTGGAAGAAAGGATACTTATTCAAACTACCAAAGAAAGGAGACTTACATCAATGCAAAAACTGGCGCAGAATTATGCTTCTGTCCATCACAAGAAAAATACTAAGCCGCATCATCCTGGAGAGAATCAAACAACCCAAGTTGGGTGAAAAACTTCGACCGGAACAAGCTGGATTCAGGAGAAACAAATCATGTATTCATCAAATCGCCACTCTACGGATCATCATTGAACAAAGCATGGAATAGCAGTCACCTCTCTATCTCAACTTCATCGACTTTGAAAAGGCCTTCGATAGCGTAGCGTCGATCGAGAGGTGATTTGGCAACAACTTCGCTACTACGGAGTCCTATCGACAATTATACATCTCATCCAACAGTTAGTTGACGACAATGTTGCATGCTAAGTAATCCACAACGGGAAACTTACGGAATCCTTCGAAGTGAGGACGGGAGTGAGACAAGGCTGTCTACTATCACCAATGATTTTCCTGATTGCAGTAGATTGGATAATGCGACAGATAACGGGAAATGAGGAAACAGGCATAAAATGGACTCATACAAAAAAAGACTTGGAGGATCTGGACTTCGCCGATGATATATGTCTGATTTCCCACAAACAGGAAGATATGCAAGTGAAAAGCAACAAGTTGGCAGAAGAAGCATCAAAGATTGGACTTCCTTCAGGTGAACATAGAAAACAGAAGTAGGTGATGGAGATTCCTGGCCAACACCAAGAACAACAGACAACAATCAGCCAGCATAAATAGGAGGAACCTGAAAGAAACAACCTCCTTTACCTACCTGGGAAGTATCGTTTCAACTACAGGCGGAACTGACGAGGATATCAAAGCAGCCAGAATTGGAAATGCAAGGTAGGCTTTCATTACTCTTAAGTCTGTGTGGAAGTCAACAGCCCTACTCAGCATCAAAAATAAGATCCGGATTTTCAACTCCAATGTAAAGTCAGTACTTCTATACGGATCAGAGACTTGGCGAGTCATAAGGAGCATCTCAAACAAACTTCATACCTTCATTAACAGTTGTCTTCGCTCAATACCACTCATGATCAGATGGCTGGCTAGAAAAGATCAGCAACAGTGAGGAATATCTAGCAATGAGCGAACCAACCAGGAACCGATTGTGAAACAAATAGGCAGGAAGAAATGGAAATGGATTGCCCACACCCTGGGGAAACCATCAAGCGACGTCACTAGACAAGCCATTGCTCGAGTGGAACCCGGAAGGGAATCGGCGAGTTGGTCGTCCAAGGGTGACTTGGAGGAGGTCATGCGAGGAGGAGATGAAAGCATATGGGAAGACTTGGAGAGGGGTGAAAAAGTTGGCAGAAAACCGAAGGCAATGGAGGTGCGCAGCTGAAGCCCTATGTTCCTCTAGGAACTAAAGGACATGATAAATAATAATGGTGTTTTAGAACAATAGGATAATAAGATGGAGAATATAAATTGTGCAATTAGTCATAATAGTAGTAATGATAATATCAATAATAATAATAATAATAATAATGGTCTTATCAACAATAAGGATGAAAAAGTGAGGCAATCTGTGATAACACGAATAATGAAAAAGCAGCATGATTAAACAAACAAATGTTCAGGTGGAAGTAGTCGAAAAAGGCTAGTAAAAACAAATGAACCGATTATGTAATGTTAGATTGTATAGGAATGAAATGAAACACGTTTATAATGAAGATGTGATAAGATTAAGGGATGATAAGAAAGGGGTTGGAAATATAAACAAGGGGTGGTGTAGAAGTCTTTCGTTGGTTATGTCTTAATAGGTCAACAAGGGAGGGATAGTGGCTGTACGAACTTTTTTTGAATGCATCGTTTAGGTTTAATAGTTCGAATGCCTATCGCCTGTCTCAGCTGTGTGTTTGTGTGTGTGCAGTAGACGAATACGAAATCTATTAGAAAGATTCGGTGGGATACGATGAATTACTTGAATTACATGACCACTATCAATTAAATGTGACACAATGTAGATACGGATTGTTTTTGTCTGTCCTTTGCCAAACCACGAGGATGGGAGATGTTCACTAACACGTTGGCTGGCTAAGCTGTCTAGTAGTACGCCCAACATAACTGTCACCGCAGGTGCAGTTGAATTGATAAATACACACAGATGTGGCAAAACTATCAAGCTTATCCTTCGTTTGTGTCCCAATCATTCGTCGGCTAGAGAATGACAAACATAGGTGTGCTGTGTAAAATGTACTCTTTTAAACAATATCTGCCAGAAAATGTCTATTCTTAGGCTGGCGATGAAGTATGGTTTACTGAAAGATTTCAAAAGCCATCTGCGGAGACGTTCTGCTTCTTCAGGATCACCGTTAAATTCAAGGTTAGATATCAGAATCTTTGTCTTTTTTTTGTGGGGGAGGGGGGAAGGCGCGACTACGACATGTTGAGAAGTTTTCTTCAATTTTCGATTCTTGTCTATCACAGCCTGGATAGGAAATCATTTTCCATCAAGATTCCTCAGACATTCTCATCAATAGATTTCTCAGTACAGATTCTACAAAAATGCTTCAGGAAAGACAGACTATTAAACGGCTCTTTTTCCTTTCTGTTTAGAGGAAGATATTATGTACTCGTCGCCAAATTATTGTTATGCACTGGTCGAGAATTTAATAGTCCTGACGCAAGAAAGACGGAAGGAAATCAGAAGACCACTAGGTTTGCGATGATACTTCTATTTTCCAAAACACCAGGAGAATCAATATGTGTCAAACAAGTGTGTGAGAGCAAAATATAAGAATGAATGTCCGAACAAGTGTGTGAACACAAGTGTGTGAGCGAATATTCAAAATGAACAAATCAATAGACAGTCTTAACATGATTGGCTAATTATAATGGAATATTGATCCATGTATACATAGTAAAATATAACCGACTGTCAAACAAACACACATATTATATGGATATATATCAGAAGAGGACTTTGAAAATTCAGAAAACTATCTGTACTCCATGTGAGCTATTTGTATATATTGGATCGATCATATAAACAAAACCACATAGAAACAATGATATAAGAATAAAACTTGTGCACTGTGGTAGAGTGTAATTCCATTATGGGTAAATTTTGTTTTGATAAAGTCTCACAGTGTTATACAGTAATGTTTACTGATGACGTTTCGAGCACAATTTATTGCTCATAATCATATCAAGGTAATCACACGACTTCCTAAATTCATTTATATAGTTCCATTGTTTTTCTCTTGATTTTCACTTGATTTGATTGGTAATAGTATTTTCCATATTTCAGGTATGAGTGATGAGTCATTCCTATTGCATGTGTTGAGTGTAGACTCGATGAATAAGGATTCAGTAATCAACCTCTCTCTCCACCTACCTAGATTACTTTTTAGAATTTTAACCCTCTCCCACCCTATTGTGTGGTTGTGTGTTAGCGCATGCATTGCAATTGCTGAGCTTTTTTCTAAATTATTTATCTTCTCGGGGTCAACCATTCTTACCTTAGCTAAATTTTTATGCTCTGACAATCTGACTACCCCTGACCTACTAGTTTGACCTATGTAGTTGACCTCACAGTCATTGCATTTAACCCTACTCCGAAAATATGGTGGAGATATGTGGATGACACTTTCACAGTGTTAAAAACAGAACACAGCTCTAGCTTCTTGACACATATTAACTCACAATTTGAGGGAATAAAATTCACATTTGAAGCGGAAAATGAACAAGGAGAATGAGCTATGTTAGATTGTAAGATAAAAAGAATAGAAGAAGGCAAACTACACACTAGTGTTTATAGAAAACCAACGCATTCTAATAGATATTTAAACTTTAATTCGTTTCATCCTTTAACTGTTAAGGCAGGCTTAGTTAAATGTTTAACAAACCGAACAGTGGCACTAAGTAGCACAAAAAAAGACCTAAGTGATGAATTAAAACAGATAGAAGAAGCGTTGGTGTTGAATAACTATCCTATAAAATTCATTAGGAATATCACCAAAAACCAAAAGCAAAATAAAAATAATGGTGAAACTATTAATGATAACACAAATAAGAGAGAATATAAGTCATCCACAGCTGTACCATATAAAGAGGGGACATCTGAGACACTACGTAGGATTCTGAATAAAGCAGGAATTAGGGTGGCATTTAAACCTACAAACTCACTCAGGTAGAACAAGCTCTGTAGGTTAAAGGACCCAGTTGACCAAATTAGGCAAAATAATATAATTGACAAAATACTTCGCGATGACTGCGAGTGAGGTGAACTACATTGGTCAGACTAGTAGGTCAGGGGTAGTCAGATTATCGGAACATAGGAATTTATCTATGGTAAGAATGGTTGACCCCAAGAGGATAAGTAATTTAGAAAAAAGCTCAGCAATTGCAATGCATGCGCTAACACACAACCACACAATAGGGTGGGAGAGGGTTAAAATTCTAAAAAGTAATCTAGGTAGGTGGAGAGAGAGGTTGATTACTGAATCCTTATTCATCGAGTCTACACTCAACACATGCAATAGGAATGACTCATCACTCATACCTGAAATATGGAAAATACTATTACCAATCAAATCAAGTGAAAATCAAGAGAAAAACAATGGAACTATATAAATGAAGTTAGGAAGTCGTGTGAGTACCTTGATATGATTATGAGCAATAAATTGTGCTCGAAACGTCATCAGTAAACATTACTGTATAACACTGTGAGACTTTATCAAAACCAAATTCACTCATAATGGAATTACACATAGAAACAAATTAGAAAAGACACAAAAAATGCGGGAACATACCATAATTCACTTAGTTCATTAACAGCTAAAACATCCTCATAAATCGGTGTACCACCGAATTCGTGTAGCATTTGTAGAACACAATGTTTTACACCGGTCACATGATGATCATACTTGACTGACTGTATAAAGAAAAAAAACAGAGAACAAATGAGAGAGAAAGAGAGAGAGAGAGGCATATCACACAAACTTTGAGTGTGAATGAATTAATCTATATCACATTTAAAGTTAATTGGGGGATGATGACTAACAGTAGGGAATCCAGGATAATGCGCTTCGCCCTATTTAGGACTCGTCAGCTAGTGGAAGGTTGAACATGAGACTAGTAGCCACATTCCGTAGAGGAATAACGCCAACTCTCCTGAAATGTCAAAACTTGAAGCCCTGTGTTCTATCCCGAATACAAAGGAGAAAAAGAAGAATTAATGTATTAACATTATTATTTTTCCCTTAGGTTCCAAGTGGAATATCTCTACTTTGTTCTATTTTCTGCTGTCCTCCTCAACTGGGTCCACGATTGACCATAATCTCCTCTAACTCGTTGCTTTCCAAAAAGGTTCCACTCGAGCAGTGACCTGGCGCGCGATGTCAGTCAGTGTACGCCCAGTCCATTTCTCTTTTCTGCTGCATATTTGTTGGGGGAATCGGCTCTTTGTTGGTTTGTTCCCAGTCAACCAGCCAGTCAGAGTTTCTTCTGGCTAATTCTTTCCAGCCAACTGGCCATTTGTTCCTCGGTATGAAGCCAGCTAGTGAAAGAGGCGGCTGTTGATAAAAGTCTGTCGCTAGCTATTGGAAATGCTTTTCGTGACTCTGTCTGTTTTCCACATAGAACTTTGCACAGATGTGCAGCAGTTCGAGTAGCTACACTCCCTCCATGTACCATACAAAGCAAGAGACGGAGAAAGTAGAAGAAATGCAAACTATAGACAGTAAACAGGGATATGAGACAAAACGAATGGTAATAAAGAAGAACAATATAGTTCCATTGATTATTATGAGTCACAAGGTGTGGATGCATCTGCGCCAACCAGCCATTGAGAACGATTTTGAGCTAGCCATATCACCAATTGTCTCCTTCATTGGTTTCTACTCTCTAGACGACCCCAACCAGTCATTCAAGTATTCTGCACCTTCCAAAGTGACTTACACTAACTGTTGTGGATTTCATTCACTGATGAAGCCATGTTGTGGTTTGACCGCCGCTAGATCTTTTCCAGCCTGACTCTATATCAGCTAACATTACCCATTGTTGAGGAAGGTAATGGTTAGTCAAGTATGCGTAACACAAGTCCTAACCATCTCAATCGATGAAGTTTCATAGCCTACTTGATTGATTTCCCCTACTTACCAATTAGCACTCGACGCTTAACCTCAATATTGCTCACCTTATTATATCACTTCACACGGGAGATAGAACACAGGCACCTATGATCGAAGATGGCTAATCTTTTCATGTCTTCCAATCTCAATGGCCAGATCTAGCTCACAGCCATAAAGGAGGACGGAGCGGACTGAGGAGCAGTACACCCACTCTTTGGTCGACAGCCAGCCGAATATCACGTCTACTAAGCCAGAGACGGCGTAAAGTGGCATATACGAAACTAGCCCCCTGTATCTGTGATGAGATTTCGTCAGAGATCAACCCTTTGGCACTGGCTGATGGTACTTCCCAAATAAGTGAAGCGGTCAACGTGCTCTACCACTTCACTCCCTATTTCTAAACTAGGAGTCAGTGTAGTCCAGTCCTGTACCATCATCTTACATTTGGCGGGAGCGAATCGCATGCCAAACATTCGTAGATTGCAACTCAAGGTGTTCAGATGACTCTGCTCTATTATGTCAGTGTCTTCACCTGGAAGGACTATGTCATCTGCATATTCTAAGTCAACGAGATTAATCTTTGGTTGGTAACAAGTCAATCTTTGAGTCTCTGAATTGAGTTAGGATTAATTCCATTAGTACATCTATTATGAAATTGAACAGAAATGGGGATAGTGGGCATCCCTCGTGACGAACACCACTAATTGTCACCACTTCAGATGACAACTCGCCGTAAGCCCTCACCTGGCTGGCTGCATGATTTCGAGTAGAGTGAGTGTCTAGATCAGTGCAATATATTTTCTCGGCATTCCCTTTACAACTAAGCATTGCCATAGTAACTCTCGGTCGACAGAATCGAATGCCGCCTTTAGGTCAAGAAATATAACGATTGTTGGACACCGGTAAATATAATATGGACTGACTGGTTTCAACATAGAACACCTTGCACAGATGTGCACCAGTTCAACTTGCCACACTCCCTCCATATACCACACAAAGTAAAAGAAAACAGGGCAAAGAAAGATTCAAAACAGCGAGAAAACAAACAGAAGTGTGAGTGAGAGAAAACGAATAGTAATATGGAAGAACAATGGAGTTTTAATTCGACGTGACAAAAAATCACAAAGAGTGAATGCATCTTATCCTTCACCCATATGACCGGGCGTCTTACATAGCCTCTCCTGAGGAAGTCCTACACTCACTGCCTTCACGTGGCGGAGGTGTTTATTTCACCGAAGTGAGAGGGCAAAAGCAGATGCCCGGAACTCTTCACCGGGTTGACTGGTCTATTGGATGACAGTCTAGGGGAGATGGCTAAACCCTGATTCCAAACCTCCAACAACTGGCGTATGAAGCTCACCGGAGCTCACCGACAGACGTATGGACAAAGGGCTTATTGGATGCCCTGGATGTCTGGCCCCATTCAAAAAGGCGAATGAACCGGACTCCGGTCACCGGCTGACTTCCAATGGATAGTGGACTCCCTACTCCACTCCTACTGCCTTGTAGGTCACACTTGGTTGTGTAAAGGCTAGAGCTGCACTCTCAAACAAAAGGCCGAGCGATTCTGGGGACATCACTCGTACCCAATTCCCATGAAACTTCATGGTTCATGAAGCCGGCTCATCCTCCCGCAGGAGATAGCCGAAGTAAAGTAAAGTAAGTAAGTTCACCGGGAACTGTTTTGAGCTAGCCATATTACTAATTGTCTCCAGACTTCATTGGTTCTTACCACCCTGAGGACCGCGACCAGTCAGTGAGGAAGTCTACACCTCCCTACGTGGATTAAACAAACTGCTGGGGATTTCATTGACTGATGAAGCCATGTTTTCATTTGACCACCACTATCTCTCTCTCTCTCTTTTCCAACCTGATCCATCTTACGTCAGTCAGTCAACATTTTCAATTGTCAAGGAAGGCAATCGATGGCTAGTCACGCATGTGCAACACATGTTGTCACTATCTTGATCGATGTAACTTTACAACTGCGTCGATTGATTTTCCTACCTTACTTAGCACTCAATTCGTAACCTAAATATTAATCACCTTATTATACCACTTCATATAGGAGATAGGACGCAGACACCTATGATCAAAGACAGCTAGCTAGACAGGCTTTTCATGTCTTTCACTTTTAATGATCATGTCTCACAGCCAGTAGTAAGGGCGGACACAACAAACTGCTGTTGAGCAGTATACACGCCCTTCGGTCGACAGCCAGCTGGACATCACGTGTCCTAAGCCAGAGATGCCGTAAGTTGGCATATACCAAACGAGTCTTCTGTATCTATGTTGACATTTCGTCAGGGATCAACCCACTGGCTGTCTGTCTAATGCAACTCTCCAAATAAATGAAGTAGTCAACACGCTCCACCAATCACTTCACTCGTTCCAAATAGCATCATCTGACATTTGACAAGGGGGGGGGGCGAATCGCATGCATAATATAGTGACCACACTGCAAACTTGTAAACTAACACCAAGGACCTGGTTACATGAGGGGAGTTACTCCTCTCCCTGTAGTGACCAATCACGACAAAAAGAAAAGAAAAAAATGCTCCTACCTACTTACCAAAGTCAAATATCTTTTGATAACTTCTTCAAGTTTTGGCAACGGCTGATCACCACAACATCCGACCGATTTGAATATAGCCGGATTCCACATGGCAGCTCTAGCTATCACAACTCCGGATGCACCAGTCTCCTGACGAAAGTATTCAATATCTTCATGTGTACGAATGATATCACGAGAACCACCACTTAAAGTTTTATTGATTTAAAAAACAATTAAAAATAAAATTATTATTATTAATGTAACAACAGAAGACAAGGGCCAGGCAACAGATCGTTTATTAAGGAAATCAACCCATATTTATAGATTTTCATGTACATTATTATAGATTATTGTTAGCAGAAAAACACAGTCTTCTGATTGGCTGTTTCTCACAGAAAGTTAACCTTGCATCTCTTTGTGATTGTTTCTTGAATGTCAGATCATCTATATGTTAACTGTATCCGCCTAAGCAAAGTCTTTGTCCTCATTTTTCTCACGACCAATATCGGGGACATAAACATTGACGTAAATTACTGTCCACCAATTTTCGCTAACAGCCCGCTCTTACCACATTAATATGTAAAATTATGAAATGCATCTATTTATTAGATAACATTTTATCATGTTTTAAATGAGAGATATCCCGATCGAAAACTGCTTCCTTGTCGTGTTGGTTGGGTTTGAATACCGCAGTGACCCAGCAAGCTCAACCCGCTAGGTCTTACCATGTCAGGAAGGTTGTTTGGATAGCGATTAGACCAAAAGCAGTTACAACGGTTGGATAAATGGGCTCTAGAATGCAATCGGATCAAATGGCCTATGAACCTGCTCCACTGTCTTGCGGATTAAACTCCAAGACAAAGGCCACTGGGGTGGTGGTCCCTTAAGACAACTACCCGCTCTGGTATAGTTGCCCTGGCAGTATCTCAGCCCTCACACAATCACTAAGCCATGAGTCACTACATTGACGAGTGGACAACTGCCTGACTCCATTGGCTTAAACACTCAAATTTCAGTTGAACAGTGTTCTAGAGTCGAATCCCACTATATATTTGTTTTGAAGGTGGATAATGATTAGGAAAGCTTTATGTGCTTTTGGAAGGGGGTGGGGCAGTGGTTATCACTTGTCGGTTACCGATACTATGGAAGTGGATTTCATCTCAAAGTACCCGAAAGAGAAAAGGCTAGTTGTCTTTGATCATACGTGCCTTCATTCTATCTCCATGTAAGGTGGTATAATAAAGTCAGCAATATTGAGCTGGTTAGGCGTCAACCCACAATGTTCATTCTGTATTTTATTTTTGTTATGTGCTGTTTTGTTTCTCTCTTCCTTGCAAACTCTACTTAAAACTTTCTTGTTCGTTCTTTCACACTCTGTATATCTCGACCATTTTGCTATCGCTTACGCCAGTAAATATGCTAGTAGTTTCTACTTCTCTAACACCTTCAAACACTGTTTAAATTTTGGCTTTGCTACCCACATACTAATATGTTGTTGAGATAACTTTAATCTATGTAGAACTTTATTTATTGTTAATGTAAAAAACTGGATGCAATATTGTAGTAAAATGCTGAGAATTCCATTCTGTATCACAAGTACTGATTTGGAATAAAGCTTATGTTATGTTATGTTATGTTATGTTATGTTATGTTAGCTGACATTGGAATGATGAGGTTGGAAAAGAAAAAGCTAGTCACAACTCACTAGAACCCAGGTAACTAGGTAACTCAGGTAACCTGAATAGGGCCAGTTGCTGGTGAGCATCAAATCAATTATTCTAATAAACAGTCGTAAGGCGCCTGAAGTCCTCCATGTTGAATGTGAGGAGGGATGCTAGCCGCCGCCGCCGCCCATGATGGTATTCCTGTACTGCAGATCGAGCCGTCAAAGAAAGACAATGGACAGTCAGGCGTGCGCAATACATTAGTCTTCTTGTCTGACATTTAATTAAACCTATCTTTACCGATTCTGTTGTAAAACTGTGACGGTCAATTTTCCCCCTTTACCTACCACCTACGCCTAACCTCAATATTAGTCATTACGATAAGTATACTATTTAACACAGGAGACACACAATACAATGACACCTGGCCTCTACATATATCTTCCATTTTTAATGACCGCTTCTTACAGTCAGTATAGAGGGACAAAGTGAACTGCTACTCAGTACACACACACACACATACACTCGATGAATAGATAGTTGTAAATCAAACCAACGCCAGAGATGACGCAATTTGGCAAATGCCAAGCCAGTCTTATGAATTACCAAAAAAGAACGCACTAAGTACCTCCCAAATGACAACATTTTTGACAAATGAAGACGAATGTAGTGAATTCCAACCAATTAGACAAAGAGAAGAGGAAGAGTCGTGCGTTTCCTTCCACTTAAAGGCAATGGACGTCAACAGACACACACACACAAGAAACGAATATACAAGAATTCCTATAAACTAATGTCAAACCGACAATATTGATTATTATTATTTATTATATCCTTTAATTCCTAGAGGAACATAGGGCTTCAGCTGCCAGTCTCCATTGCCTTCAGTTTCCTGACAACGCCTTAACCCCACTCCAAGTCTTCCCACATGCTTTCATCTGCTCTTTCTTCACATGTCCTCCTCCAAACCACCCCACCCTCACACTGACGACCAACTCGCCGCCCGCTTCCCTTTCGGGTTCCATTCGAGCAATGACTTGTCTAATGATATCACTTGCTGGTTTGGCTTCTCAGAGTATGGCCAGCCAATCCATCTCCATTTCTTCCTGCCTATTTGTTTCACAATCAGTTCCTGCTGTGTTGGTTCGCTCATTCCCAGAGATCCCTGTCGCTGATCATTTACGGCCAGCCATCTGATCATCAGTGGTATTAAGCGAAGACAACTGTTAATGAAGATCTGAAGTTTGTTTGAGATGCTCTTTATGACGCGCTCGCCAAGTCTCTGATCCGTATAGTGAGGACCACTGACTGACTTCACATTGGAGTTGAAAATCCGGATCTTATTTTCATTTTCAGGCTGAGTAGGCCTGTTGACCTCCACACAGACTTGAGAGTAATGAAAGCTTGTGTTGCTTTTCCGATTCTGGCTGCTTTGATATCCTCGTCAGTTCCATCTCCCTGTAGTTGGAACGACGCATCCCAGGTAGGCAGGTAGGTGAAGGAGGTTGTTTCTTTCAGGTTCCTCCCATTTATCCTGGCTGATTGTTGTCTGTTGTCGCTGCTGTTGGTGTTGGCCAGGAATCTTCATCAGTTACCAGTGTTTTCTATGTTCACCTGAAGTCCTATCTTTGATGCTTCTTCTGCAACTTGTTGATTTTCACTTGAATATCTTCCAGTTTATGAGAAATCAGACATGAATACACTAGTTAATACCACCTTACAAAATGTAGTGCTAAATACGAAAAGTCATAACCAGAGGGATACACCAAGTTAGGATAAGGGAGAGCAGTTACTCGCCAACAACGTCGGTTGAAGGTTGCAGCAGAAGTTGGAACTGATGGGCTGGTCATTGGATCGGGTCTCGGTGGCCCAAATAGTCAACGAGTTCACCTTGTTAACCTGATGGTCCAGGGTTCGATTCCCCATGGGTGCGTTTTAATGATGAACCCCCGTCCAGGATGATACAATCCTAACTTTCCAATAATCGTCTGTGAACAGAAAACACCTTTTTTCGAAATCATACGAACACATACATACTTGGCTAGCACAGGAATAGATACGGCTTGAGCAATAGCCTGGATAACTTCATTACGATTACGATGCTGTGGTCGTTCGTGTACTGTACGACCGTGTACAGTGATAGCTGAAACACCGGTAGATTCAATCAGTTTAGCTAAAGCAATTGTTTTTTCTAACTAGAAAGAAGAAGAAGAAGAGGAGAGAAAGAGAAAAACATGTGAAAACATAGGAAGCAGTTTAAAAAAATAATAAATAAATAGAGACCAGTTACGGAATTATCATGTTAAGCGATTGACTGTTAAGATTTATGCTTATATTACACCATGTAAATATGACAATCTTATTGGTCAATTCTTGATCTGATACAACCAATCAGAATAAAGGAGAAAGCCAGACGAAATTGCTTAGAGTTTTAGTTATATTGTGGTGAGAGCAGGCCGTGAGAAAATATGAGCAAGGCTGATTCAACAACCAATCACAGCAAAGTTAACGTGGCAAAATATGATTCGCAGATAGAGAACTCTATTTGTCGAGGAATCCCGAAACAACCAATCAGAAGCCTGCGTTTGTCTGCCTAACTTTTGATAAACAACCAATCAGATAACTGCGCTTGTCTACTTGCATAAGCTATAATAATGTATGTGAAATATGTATAAATACGTGTTGATTTTCATAATAAAACGATCTGTTGCCTGGCCCTTGTCTTCTGTTGTTACAATATCAGTTGTGACCAGTTATGGGGAGTAGGGTGTTGAGACAGATACTACACACTGATGACACTGGTTGGAGGTTGCGCTTAAAGATTTCGAATTGACACAAGTTAGAATTTGGGGGTCAGTGAATTTCTCCATCAACAAAACGAAATGTAGTACTAAAAATAATAAAAGAAAAATTTAGCAAAGAAAATTTTCAAGTATTGGTTTTGTAGGGATTTTGTTTGATTTGACGGAGGATTTCATCATGAACTGACATCAGTTAGAGAACCACTGGAAAACCAACTGGGAGTACTGGACAGCTGTTTCGTCCTAGTTTGAGACTCTTAATCAGTACGCACCCCACCCGGGGTTCTAGTGGGAAGCCATGACCAGTAGGGTACAGCAGGTCGAAGATGAGGCAGTAACTCATCAAAGAAGATATTGCGAAATAGTCGCGCTATGTCATGAATTGGCAGAAGCTAGAATTCAAGAACCATTGGATCGGGTCCCAGTGGCTCAATGGTCTACGAGCTAGCTGGCCTTGTAACCAGAAGGTCATCGGTTCGAAACCTGATGGTGGGTGCGTACTGATGAAACAGCTGTCCACTACTCCCAGCTACGTTTCCAATGGTTCTCTAACTAATGTCAGCTCATGATGAAATCCTCCATGCAACCAAACAAAAAAACCCTACAAAACCAATACTTAAAAAATAAAAGTACTCAACAGCACAAAGTTGGACATTTGATAAGGTTAAAATTGCTATTAAGTGAGAATGAAGGTGGTAGTTGAGTGTCAATTCAACAAAGTGTGAAGAGGGTGTGAAAATGTACAAAAGGAGCATATGAGAATGATAATATTGAATGAATTATTAAAGTAAAAGCAAACTAAAAGTAAAGTTACTTATAGGAAACGACTAGTGGAGAGGTTAAGATCATGGTAGAATAAGAGACTGGATAAACTTTTTCCGTATACAGAGTTTGGGATTGTATTGACGAATTGCCAACGCCTCTGCCAGACACAAAGGATGAAACCTGACACCCTTTTTACCATTTGGTTTCACCTTGTAGATGATCTTGAACAAAAACTCTGGTGGAGCTACGTGGCCTGAGTTCACCAAGTGCTCGAGAAGTGAGCTAGTAATTATATACGGCAGAGGCTTTGTTAATTCGTCAATACAACCCCGAACTCTGTATACAGCAGAAAAAGTTTGTTCAGTCTCTTGTTCTACCTTGGTCTTAACCTCTTCACTAGTCGTTCCCTGTAAAAAAATTCTCATTTTTTAATTTTCAATTTTACTTCCATATTAGTTTGATTATTAAATGTATCACATAGTGAAACAGTATTGTATACTGGATGACGTTTCGAACACAATTTATTGTTCATAATCATATCAATTTTTGTCACACGACTTCGAGATTTGATTTTTATAGTTTTCTCTGTCTTCTCCTATTTGTTGTATGGGCAGTAGAATTTCCCATATATCTGGGACAGGTGTTGAATCATTCCTATTACATGTATTTGCAGTTGATTCGATAAACAAAGCTTCTGTTATCAATCTCTCCCTATACCCTGTGACATTAGATTTTAAAACTGTCATCCTATCCCATCCTATTGTATGGTTGTGTGTAACTGCATGTAGTGCTATAGCTGAACTATTCTCTAGATTTCTTATCTTATTCGGGTCAACCAATCTAGATTTAGCTAGGTTTTTATGTTCGGCTAGTCTGACTGTCCCTGTTCTACTAGTTTGACATATGTATTTGACCTCACAATCATTGCAGGGTATTAGATAAACTAGATTGTTCTGTTTTAATGGCTCTGCAGGATCCTTTAACCGACAAAGCTTGTTTCTAATTGAGTTTGTGGGTTTGAATGCCACTTTTATTCCTGCCTTGTTAAGAATTCTGCGTCAGGCTTCCGAGGTTCCTTCTTTGTATGGAATTATTGTTGATGATTTACATTCCTTATTGTTGGTGTCGTTATTAATATTATTATTATTATCACTATTATTATTACCATTATTATTATTGTTATTATTATTGTTATCATTATTATTATTATCACTATCTCTGTTATCATTATGATAATAATGATAAGGAATTGATATGTATCCATATATATATATACATATATATATATGTGTATGTTGGTCTCCCTTTCTGTTTGCTCTCTTAGTCTGTGACCATTTCACTTGTATGAACTTGTCTCCTTTAACAATGTATATTCTCCTTATATTATATATAATATAATATGAGTGTTTGTTGACAGTCCGTTGCTTGGTGACATATATCCATATATGGTGGTTGTTGACATGTCTGCTATATTTCGCTATGTATATATGGATCGATACTTCATTATAATTAGCCATTCATGTTAAGACTGTCTATTGATTTGTCCACACACTTTGTCTGGAACATTCATATATATTTCGCATTCACAATTTGTGTGACTTACCACTTTGGTGTGATACCACTTTTGCATTCTCCTTGTGTTTGGAAAATAGAAGTATCATCGCAAACCTAGTGGTCTTCTGATTTCCGCCTTCCTGCGTCAGGACTATTAGTTTCTCGACCAGTCCATAACAATAATTTGTCAACGGGTACATAACAGGAATGTAAATCATCAACAATAATTCCATACAAAGAAGGAACCTCGGAAGCCTGACGCAGAATTCTTAACAAGGCAGGAATAAAAGTGGCATTCAAACCCACAAACTCAATTAGAAACAAGCTTTGTCGGTTAAAGGATCCTGCAGAGCCATTAAAACAGAACAATCTAGTTTATCTAATACCCTGCAATGATTGTGAGGTCAAATACATATGTCAAACTAGTAGAACAGGGACAGTCAGACTAGCCGAACATAAAAACCTAGCTAAATCTAGATTGGTTGACCCGAATAAGATAAGAAATCTAGAGAATAGTTCAGCTATAGCACTACATGCAGTTACACACAACCATACAATAGGATGGGATAGGATGACAGTTTTAAAATCTAATGTCACAGGGTATAGGGAGAGATTGATAACAGAAGCTTTGTTTATCGAATCAACTGCAAATACATGTAATAGGAATGATTCAACACCTGTCCCAGATATATGGGAAATTCTACTGCCCATACAACAAATAGGAGAAGACAGAGAAAACTATAAAAATCAAATCTCGAAGTCGTGTGACAAAAATTGATATGATTATGAACAATAAATTGTGTTCGAAACGTCATCCAGTATACAATACTGTTTCACTATGTGATACATTTAATAGTCAAACTAATATGGAATTACTTAATACCAAAGTGCCCAAGTTTTACACATATATTTCAGTTTTACTGTTAGTTTGCTTGCGCAGTAGTTAGGACTCTCACCGACCATGCACATGCTCCGAGGTTCGATCCCTTGCCGATGCACACCTGGTATCTATGGTCGGCCTGGAAAATTTAGGCTACCGATATCACATGCTGAAAATTCCACACTCTTGTACCAAAAATACAGTGTGGAATCAAGCTGTAAATCAAAAATAAAAATAAATTATCACTCTCAATCTCATATGTTCCTTGTTGTACATTTTCAAACTCTTTTCACATTTTTTAAATTCACACTCAACTATCACCTTTCTTCTCACGACTTAATAACAATTTCAACCTTATCAAATTTCTAACTTTGTGTAGTTGAGTAGCACGTAATTTACAACTTTTATTTTTCTACTTTTGAAGCCCCTTACGAGTAGTTATATCACACTTATGTCACCCTCTATCACTCAATAATAATGAACTACTATACGTGTTTTTGGTTAAAATATAAATAAGACTGTACAGCCAGCCTGTGAAGATGAGTTCATCGATAAAGAAAAGAAAATTTTCTTCGCTGAATTGGTCTTTTCATTTTCTCTTCATGACTCAATGGGTATTTTTTGGGTGATTGGAATGCACTACCTCAAACCATTATCAACCTCATTCATTCAACAGCTGGTGGTTATATGACAGCCTCCAAAGCCTCAGGATGGTCGGGGGTGGGTGTCTTGCGCTGCGGGTTGGCCACCCCTCCGTACACCTCTTGAAATGCTCCCATATGACCGTGCGTCTTACATAGCCTCTCCTGAGGAAGTCCTACTCACTACCTTCACGTGGCGGAGGTGTTTTTCACCAAAGTGAGAGGACAAAAGCGGATGCCCGGCGCTCTTCACCGGGTTGACTGTCCATTGGATGACGGTCTAGGGGAGATGGCTAAACCCTGCCTGATTCCAAACCTCCAACGACTGGCGTATGAAGCTCACTGGAGCTCACCGGCAGACGTATGGACAAAGGGCTTGTTGGATGTCCTGGATGTCTGGCCCCATTCAAAAAGGCGAATGAACCGGACTTTGGTCACCGGCTGCCAATGGATAGTGGACTCCCTACTCCACTCCTATTGCCTTGTAGGTCACACTTGGTTGTGTAAAGGCTAGAGCTGCACTCTCAAACAAAAGGCCGAGCGATTCTGGGGACATCACTCGTACCCAATTCCCATGAAACTTCATCAACTCTCTTACAAACATTCGAGATGTTCATGAAGCCGGTTCATCCTCCCGTAGGAGATAGCCGAAGTAAAGAAGAAGAAGAAGGTTATATGACACAGCCACGTGTAAAGTGATCTATAACGGAAAGCTTAGAGAAGCGATTACAGTAAGGACAGCAGTAAGACAAGGCTTCCCACAACTATCACCCCGAGATGATAATACTCCTAACTGTGGTTAGCCGGATTATGCAAGAAGACAGGAATACGTTGGACTAATAAGAAGACACCGGAAGATCTAGAATCCGCGGATGATTTATGTCTGTTACATTAACTAACAAATTTTTAGAAGAGGCTGACAGAGAAGACAGGACATCCATCGTTTATGGGAGAAATTTCAAAGGGGTCACTTCCTTCATTTATCCACTCAGTTGATAGCTATTCAGCACGGATGTCAAGGACGGCGGGGATCAGAAAGGCAAGACAAACACTCATTGCTCTGAAATCAGGCTGCAAATCTACTGCACTCAATCAGAGCAAAGAACACAAGGTTCTGATTTTCAACACCAACGTCAACTGAGACACTTGGCATGGGCAGCATCCCTAAAAGCATTTCAAACAGGCTTAATACTTTTATCAGCAACTGCCACCTTCGCTGACTGGCTCCACACTGAAGATCGGATAGCCAAAAATGATGCGTGACAAAGGGCCAACAAACAACACGTAGTGTTCTACAAGTATTCCGCAGAAAATTGAACGTGGATCGAACACACACCGTGGCGACCAGTGAGTGACATCACACACCAGGCCATCACTCAACTGGAACCTAAATGGGGAAGAGATGAGAGCTTATGGGCAGCCGTGGAGCCACCTAAAGATTACTGCAGACAAAAGGACGAAGTGGAGGTGTTGTTGAAGTCCTATATTTCATTCAGAACCCAAAGGAATAATCATAATGAATTCCGACCCAAGTGGCGGAATGTTCAATGAACCTGAAGGTCCCGAGTTCGACCCCTGGCAGGTGGAGGTATGGGTGCGTACCGCTGAAGAGTGCCAAACTGGGACGAAACAACTGGCTGTCAAATACTTCCTACAGGTTTTCCAGTAATTCTTCCACTGATATCAGCCCGTGATCAAACACTTATAATCAGTCGACGCCCCGGAAACCAACACCTTATAATTTGTTTCATTGCTTGATATTTAAACTAAGGTTATAATCACAAACACTTTGTCACAATTCATTTTATTATGACGATTATTATAAGTATTTACACCTTTTGTTCAAACTTCTTGACGAAAAATAATTTTTAGAAAATCATACATATTATATACGATTTTACAGCTTGATAATGTAAATATATGACACAGTCTTGTTTACATGGGTCGGCGTTTTAGTGGCAGAATGCCCGTCAATCCTGTACGTGTTCCTAGGTTCGATTCCCCGGCCAATGACTCACTCCTGAACATTGTTGTCTAACCGGTAGTAGGCTCAGAACAGAGGAAAGGTTGGGCCTATGAGGCTAGCAACGGCAAAGCTAATGAAACTTCCCAGCCTCAAACCCTAAATATTTCACACGGAACACCGGAAATGAGAGATAAGTCTCGTTCACAGTCACATGCCAGTCTTTGTCTTCTGGTAGTCCTACGACTCAGTGTACTTACTTACTTTACTTTACTTCGGCTATCTCCTACGGGAGGATGAGCCGGCTTCATGAACGTCTCGAATCATCGCTGCCCAGGTGCGGCAATTTGTAAGAGAGTTCATGAAGTTTCATGGGAATTTGGTACGAGTGATGTCCCCAGCATCGCTCGGCTCAGTGTCCCTCCTCCTCAATGTATACAGACTATTAGGGGCACCAATTTTACTGGGAAAGTGTGGAAATTGTAAACACAGTGGAAACACGAAAAGTAATGCCAGGGAATTCCTGGGTCAAATTCCAAATCAATATTATTATTATTTATTATATCCTTTAATTCCTAGAGAAACATAGGGCTTCAGCTGCCAGTCTCCATTGCCTTCAGTTTTCTGACAACGCCTTAACCCCACTCCAAGTCTGCCCAAACGCTTTCATCTCCTTTTCACATGACCTCCTCCAAGTCACCCACCCTCGCACTGACGACCAACTCGCCGATTCCCTATCGGGTTACACTCGAGCAATGACTTGTCTAATGATATCGCTTGCTGGTTTGTTTCCTCAGAGTATGGCCAGCCAATCCATCTCCATTTCTCCCTGCCTATTTGTTTCACAATCGGTTCCTGATTGATTCGCCCATTCCCAGAAATCCCTGTTTCTGATCATTTCTGGCCAGCTATCTGATCATGAGTGGTATTAAGCGAAGACAACTGTTAATGAAGGTCTAAAGTTTGTTTGAGATGCTCTTTATGACGCACTGGTCAAGTCTCTGATCCGTATAGTGAGAAGCACTGACTGACTTCACATTGGAGTTGAAAATCCGGATCTTATTTTCATTTTCATGCTGAGTAGGGCTGTTGACCTCCACACAGACTTGACAGTAATGAAAGCTTGTCTTGCTTTTCCGATTCTGGCTGCTTTGATATCCTCGTCAGTTCCATCTCCCTGTAGTTGGAACGACGCATCCCAGGTAGGCGGGTAGGTGAAGGAGGTTGTTTCTTTCAGGTTCCTCCCATTTATGCTGGCTGATTGTTGTCTGTTGTTGGTGGTGGTGTGGCTGTTGGTGTTGGCCAGGAATCTTCATCAGTTACCTCTGTTTTATCTATGTTCACCTAAAGTCCTTTCTCCTCTGGATGCCTCTTGTGCCAGCTTGTTGATTTTCACTTGCATATCTTCCAGTTTGTGGGAAATCAGATCAATATTGATCCACATTAATAAACAATCACGAAAAAGAAGGTGTTTAAGAGATCCGACTATATTACTCAAGGGAATATTCAAAATGATTTCAGAATTCTTTGTGAAGTTTACGCTGAACATGTTGCCTAGAGAGACAACGAAAGCTTGTCAGTTAGTCAAATCAACCAGCTACTACTCCTTAGAGAACACAACCACTACACATATCAAAATCATCCATTTGAGTTACACAACTTCTCTATTACGACAAAGGATCACTTACCTCAGGTAGTATGCGTATTTTACATGTAACAGGAATAGAAAGATTTGTAACCAGAGTGGTTAATATCTAAAAATTAAAAATATTAAAGGGGAAAAGAAGATAAATATACATAAATATGTAATGATACTACTGAAATGTACATTTAAGTAAGCAGAAGTTTACTGCGAAATTATCACTACCATGCACAGCAGTGGGAAATACAAAGTTGGAAGAGGTCGACAACAAAAAAGTTTGCAGCAATGTGAAACGAAGCAAAAATAAGTGATGATCAAAACGCGAATAATGAACAAATAAAATCGAATTATAAAGTATATCACAAGACGTGTGTTATTATTGTTGTTATTATTCCGAGTTCGACTACGGACTGAAATCAGTTAGAGAACCGTTCGAAACTAGAAGCTAATGGATAGCTGTTTCGTTCCGTGCGAAGCACACTTCATCAATACGCATGCATGACCACACCAGGGGTAAATACTTTCTTATAATTGGATGTTGTTTCAGTGGCTGGTTGGATGGTTAACTAGCTCTCCTCTTTAACCTAAAGGTGCCAAATCTCCATATCCCAGTGGATTGATAGTTACGTACTGCTGAAGAGTCGCGTACACTAGGACAAAACAGCTGTCCAGCACTCATGGTGTTCAATGGTTCTCTGATTGAAGTCAGTTTGTGGTGGATCAAATCTCTAAAAGTTGACAACTGAGAATAATTATTACTATTGGTAATGCACATTTCATCTTATTTGCGACTCATCAACTGGATGTACACTTATCTCCAGTGAATGGTGGTGTTATCATCGCTGACACTTGAACTTAGCACCTTAAGTTCCGAGTGAAACGTAGGGCTTCAGAGGCACATCTCCATTTCATTCTGTTCTCTCTGTAGTCCTGTTTTAGCTGGCTCCACGATTGCACATAAGCAGCTTTCATTTCCTCTGCACACACACACACACACACACACACACACACACACACACACACACACACACACACACACGATCTCTTCTATGTAACACTCAGGGACACACACGCCCAACTCGTCACTTGCCATCCGAGGTTGTGCCCCATGCGCACTGTCACCCATCGGTCTCCTTAGATCAACCGCATAAAACATCATTATAAATAACTTTCAACACTAACATAATGCCAGTGGTTTTATATATGGTTTACGAACTTGCTTCCAACAGGTGACTGACGACTTTCACTATCAATAGATGCCTTTGCCTGACTTCATACTGAAGATGAAATGGCGTTCCAGGAAAGATAAGCAGTAAGGAAATATTTTAGGCTGTAAACCAATTAAAAATCTATTAGCTAACAAATATGCAGGCAAAAAAATGGAGATGGATTAAACGCACGCTGAGGAGGGCGTTAGATATCTCTGTCTGTCTGTTTTCGACATAGAACTTTGCACAAATGTGCGGAAGTTCAAGTCGCCACATTCCGTGTAGCACGCGAAGCAAGAGAAGAAAGTACAAGAAAAGCATAATAGAAACAGTAAACAGAGGTGTGAGACAAAGGAGTAATAAAGAAAAACAAAACAGTTTCATTGGAGATCATAAGTCACACGGAGTGGATGCATCTGCGCCACTGAGAACGATTTTGAGCCATGTCACCAATTGTTTCCAACCATAGATTTTTACCGTCCCGAGGACCCCAGCCTGGAAGTCTACTTCTTCCTACGTTGCTGGCTTAGACCAACTGTTGTGGATTTCATTGACTGGTAAGGCCAAGTTTTTGTTTGACCGCCGCTAGCTAGTTCTTTTCCAGCCTGACCCTATATCCGCTAACATTGCTCTTCGGTCGAGGGAGGCGATGGCTTGGCATACGTAACACATGTCCTAACCATCTCAGTCGATGTAACTTCACAACTTCGTCGATTGATTTCCCCTGTTTACCTAGAACTCGACTGATGCCTAACCTCAATATTGCTCACCTTATTATGCCACTTCACACGGGAAATAGAGCGCAGGCACCTATGATCAAAGACAGCTAATCAGGCTTTTCATGTCTTCCACTCTCAGTGGCCAGGTCTAGCTCACAACCATAAAGGAGGACGGAGCGGACTGATGAGCAGTACACCCGCCCTTTGGTCGATAGTCGAACATCTCGTCTACGCCAGAGTCGGCGTAAACTAACAAATGCGAAACGAGCCCCTTGTATTCGTGCTGAGATTTCGTCAGAGATCAGCCCGTTGGGGCTGATGGTACTTCCCAAATAAGTGAAGCGGTCAACGTACTCTACCACTTCACTTCCTATTTTTAAACTAGGCGTCGATGTAGTCCAGTCCTGTAACACATCATCTCGCATTTGGCGGGAGCGAATCGCATGCCAAACATTCGTAGATTGCGGCTCAAGGTGTTTAGAAGACTCTGCATTTCGTCAGCGTCTTCGCCTAGAAGGACTATATCGTCTGCATATTCCAAGTCAACGAGATTATTCCCCGGTAGCAAGTCAATCCCTGATGAAATTACACGACACCATGCAGGATATTGAGTGGAACCCTAATGGGAAACGACGAGTTGGGATTGAGCCCGAGGATGATGTAGAAGATGGTCATATATGGCCGATTGGATTACACAGTACACTGTGTGTGTGGGGAATGAGAAGAAAGAAACACGGTGGATCGATAAGAAAACTCTAGAAGATTTGGATTTCGCGCATGGATGATTTATGTTTCATGTCACACACACACACACACAAACTCGAAGACTTATAGGCGAAAACCAACAAACTGACAGAAGAGACAGACAGCGAAGACAGGATGCCAGGGGTGAAAATAAAGAAGATGGAGGTGATGAAGATATCCATGCACTGCCAGCACCAATCACCATCAACACGAGAGACTTGACAGAGGTTACCACCTCCTTTACTTATATCCAGCTAAGAAGAGCACAGTTACAACCAGAGGTATTCGGAACGGATGAAGAAATCAAAGCCAGTAGGCCAGAATCGGAAAAAGGCAAGGCACACCTTCACCAACCTGAAACCAGTTTGGAAAATCTTCTGCACTGTCCTAGGGCAGCATAAAGAAGAACCTAATTCGAAATCTGTTCACAACACGGAAGTGAAGTCAGTTGTTGTTGTTTTTTCTCTACAAGTTAGAAACTTGCCCTTCGTGTCACGAAAAGCAATTTACAACACAAGTTAGAGATTTTTATCAACAGCTTCCATATTGAAGATCAAATGATCGTCAGCCAGCCTGCGAAAAAGAATTAGCAGCGAGAAACTCTGGTAACAACAACCGAGCTAAACGCCGATTACTCAATCAGTATGCAAGAGAAAATGAAGATCGATAGATCGGGCATATGTTGATGAGGCTGTCGAATGATATCTCACGCTCAAAATGCAGGTCATCACTCGAGTGGAATACTAATAGGAGGCCATGAGTGGGTCGTCCCAGGGTGACATTTCCCGTGTAAAGTGGCATAATAAGGTGAGCAACATTGAAGTTAGGCGTCGAGTTCTACGTAAGGAGGGGAAATCAATCGACGAAGTCGTGAAGCTACAAAGACTGAGATGGTTAGGACATGTGTTACGTATGCCAAGCCATCGCCTCCCTCGACCGAAGAGCAATCTTAGCGGATATAGGGTCAGGCTGGAAAAGAACTAGCTAGCGGCGGTCAAACCAAAACACGGCACCAGTCAATGAAATCCACAACAGTTGGTCTAAGCCAGCCACGTAGAAAGGTGTAAACTTCCAGACTGGGGTCCTCGGGATGGTAAAAATCTATGGTTGGAAACAATTGGTGACATGGCTCAAAACCGTTCTCAGTGGCGCAGATGCATCCACTCCTTGTGACTTATGATCTTCAATGAAACTGTTTTGTATTTCTTTATTACTCCTCCTTTGTCTCACACCTCTGCTCACTGTTTCTATTATGCTTTTCTTGTACTTTCTTCTCTTGCTTCGCGTGCTACACGGAATGTGGCGACTTGAACTTCCGCACATTTGTGCAAAGTTCTATGTCGAAAACAGACAGACAGACAGACAGACATTTAGGAGATCGTGCAAGAAGGAAGAGGTTGGAGATTATGGTCGACCGTTGGGCTAGCTAAATGGGACTTCAAAGAATAGGACAAAGTAGAAACGTACTGTTTACGCTGTTTATGTCTCACTCGAAACCTCTTCAAGGGAACAATAATATATCAATAGAAACTTTCAGTTATTTATCGAAGCATCCATCGCACCAGGAGTAGACATGTCAAAACACGAATTGAGCATTCTGGTTCAGTATAACTTATTAATCAAGGGGAAATATGGAGAGTAACACGCACACCCACACACACACACACACACACACACAAGAACAAGCACTACAATTCTAACAAAAATGCACGGAGAGTATAAAAGAAAGGTTATGTAATATGTGTGGGGAAAACGAATACCACAAAAACAACAACAACAACAAAAAAGACTCACTTCTTTAACTGTCTCCGGTTTCGTAAGCAAAGCTGCACCCATTCCACCCTTGATAACACAAAAATTTTAAAAGGTAACACACAATGGAATATCAATCCGACTTCTTCATCAATAATAGTCTGATGTTTAAAATATTTATATTATTATTATTATTAAAGTACAGACAGGGTAGATTATAGGCACAAGCAGAGAAGAGTTCTATGTTATCAAATTTCACACCATGTTACGTAACATTTTATATTCGTCTATTAATCTTATAATTATATACCTCTCTCCAAAATCTATACACCTTATGTATTATTCCATATATATGACATTAATTATTGTTCCACTTGACTCAAACTATGAATATAATCACAAATATTTAAATTTAATTTCATACTATTATTATTTCATGTATTTACATCTTTGACCTAATTCCTTCACCGGATATAATTTCTTTATAAAACCATATATATACGATTGTACAGCTTGATAATAAATTCGTTGAAAAGAGTCTCTTCGCTGAAAATTGTGTTCTTAATGAAGACAGAGCTGTTGATGAAAGTCTGTAGTTTGTTCGAAGTGCTCCTCATGATGCGCCAAGCCTCTGATCCATATAGTAACACTGACTGACTTCACATTGGAGTTGAAAATCCGGAATATGATCGATAGGGAGTGCTAAATCCCCTAGGATCAAATATGTCATGTTAAGTAAGTATATACAGAATAAGGCGAGTGACGTTCAAATGAAAAAAAATACTGAATTCATTGGATATTGAATTCTCTCAGAGTGAGGGGCTGAATGGTCAATGACTTCACCCATGTGACCTGAAGTGAAGGTCTTCGTTTTGATTCCTTTATGGGATTATGAAGAGTCACAGAATGCAGTGAAGCGGCTAGTTTGTCGTCTAGTACTCCCTGTTACTCAACGGATATCTAAATGATGACGTCAGTTGGTGATCAAACTTGAAATCGATCAGAATACTAGAAGAGAAGGTACACGGAAGATTTGGTTTTAACCGTTTGACAGACATCGGCCTTGGCAAAATGATGAGAATGGACAATCTCATCTAACTCCACTCTAATACTGAAAAACTTGACTGACTGACTGATTCTGCAGAGAAGTGTGGCACTACGACAAATTACCACACTGCATGCAACACACAGAGGTAGAGAAATAAGAGATTCAAAAGGAGGGAATGCATAGTAACAAGAAGAAACATGAGGGTTCAATTTATATGGGCCATCTGACCAACACTTTCCGACCACTGGTTCTTAGAATACCAAGGACCGCAGTAACACATTCTACACCGCATTGGGTGGCTCAAACTAACAGCTGAAGACTTCGTGGAGTGATATCATGTTTTTATTTATATAACCCTAACGCTTTTCAAAATCATCCTTATATCATATAAGGTTACTCGACAAAAACAGCGGTGGCTCGGTATGCGCGACACGTGTTCTGACCATCTCAACCGTGACGTGATATCCAACTGTCGACCAAAGGACATGTATACTGTTCAGTGGTCACTTCGCTCCGTCCTCCTTTACGGCCGTGAGTGAGACATGACCACTGAAAGTGGAAGACATGAAAAGGCCGGCTGTCTGTCTGTTTTCGACATAGAACTTTGCACAAATGTGCACCAGTTCAAGTCGCCACACTCCGTGTAGCACGCGAAGCAAGAGAAGAAAGTACAAGAAAAGCACAATGGAAACAGTGAGCAGAGGGGTGAGACAAAGGAGGAGTAATAACGAAGAACAAAACAGTTTCACTGGAAATCATAAGTCACACGGAGTGGATGCATCTGCGCCACCCAGCCATTGAGAACGATTTTGAGCCATGTCACCAATTGTTTCCAACCATAGATTTTTACAGTCCCGAGGACCCCAGTCTGGAAGTCTACACCTTCCTACGTGGCTTAGACCAACTGTTGTGGATTTCATTGACTGGTGCCATGTTTTTGTTTGACCGCCGCTAGCTAGTTCTTTTCCAGCCTGACCCTATATCCGCTAACATTGCTCTTCGGTCGAGGGAGGCGATGGCTTGGCATACGTAGCACATGTCCTAACCATCTCAGTCGATGTAACTTCACAACTTCGTCGATTGATTTCCCCTCCTTACGTAGAACTCGACGCCTAACTTCAATGTTGCTCACCTTATTATGCCACTTTACACGGGAAATAGAGCGCAGGCACCTATGATCAAAGACAGCTAATCAGGCTTTTCATGTCTCCCACTCTGAGTGGCCAGGTCTCACAGCCAACCATAAAGGAGGACGGAGCGGACTGATGAGCAGTACACCCGCCCTTTGGTTGATAGTCGAACATCTCGTCTACGCCAGAGTCGGCGTAAACTGGCAAATGCGAAACGAGCCCCCTGTATTCGTGCTGAGATCTCTCACGAAATCTCAGCACGAATACAGGGTATAGGTAGGGTGAGTAATGTTGATGTTAAGCATCGGTTGAGTGCTAGGTAGGGAGGGGAAATCAATCGATGCAGTTGTGAAGTTACGTCGATTGAGATGGTTAAGACATATGTTACGTATGCCTAGACATCGTCTTTCTAGACGAGCAATATTAGCTGACACAGGGTCAGGTAGGAAAAGAGTCAGTGGTGGTCAGACGAAAACATAGCTCCATCAGTGCACGAAATCCACAACAGTCAGTTTAAGCCATGTAGGAAGGTGTAGGCTTCCTGGTTCAGGAACTCGGGACGGTAAAAACCACTGACGACTGGAGATAATTGGTGATATGGCTAGCTCAAAATCGTCCTTAGTGAATGGCACAGATGCATTCACTCATTGTGATTAATTTGTCATATCCGATAAAATTCTATTGTTCTTTCATATTAATATTCTTGGTGCCTCATACTTCTGTTTATTATCTCTCTATTTTGACACTCTGTGTACTCTCTTCTCTTCCTTTATGTGCTATATGGAGTGTAACAACTGGAACTGCTGCACATCTGTACAAAGTTCTACGTTGGAACGAGTCAATCGAATTAGAGTCAGAGTCATTCCAACCTATACAGCTTCACAGCCTTATATCTTCCGCTTTTAATCTCTATGCCTCACAGCCATTACAGAGGAAAGAGCGAAATGCTGCGCAGAACACATATCCTTTGATCGACAACCGGATATCACATCTGTCTGTCTGTCTGGATTCAACATAGAACTTGGCACCGAAGTGCACCAGTTCAAGTTGCCACGTTCCAAATAGCACACAAAGGTAGACAAGAAGATGAGTAAAGAGAATCAATAGAGTTTGACATGTATAAGAGTGAAACAGAATGGGTAATGGTAGAAAGGAATATGAAAGATTACAGAGACTGAATACATCTGAGCTGGCCATTGACAACGATTTTGAGCCATGTCACCTATTGTCTCCAGCCACTGATTGATTCCTAGAGTCAGTCCCGAAGGCCCCAACCCGGAAGTCTGCATCTCCTACCCTACCTGACTGACTCAGTTTAACTGTCAAGGATTTCATGGATTGATGAGGCCATGTCTTTGTTTGGCCACCACTGGCTCTTTTCCAACCTGCACCACCTATATCAGCTAGTAATGCACGTCTGGTGGGGGAGGCGATGGTTAGGCATGCGCAGCACGTAACCTAGCCATCTCAGTCTATGTAACTTTATAGCCTCATCGATTGATTCTCCCTGTTTGTCCAACACTACGTCTAACGTCAACACTACTTACCTTATTAAACCACCTAACGTGAGACAGAGATCGAAGACATCTATGATCAAAAACAGTCAACCTTTTCATGTCTTTAACTCTTATTGGCCATGTTTCAGAGTCACGGAGAAGGACGAAGCGAACTGCTGAGCAGTACACACGTCTCCTGGTTGATAGCCGGATGTCACGCCTACGCCAAAGATGGCGTAAGTCAGCGAAAGCAGCTCGAGCTTCTTGGATCCGTGCTGAGATTTCGTCGCCAATCAGTCCATTGCTGCTGATACAACTTCCCAAATAGGTGAAGTGGTCAACATGTTCTATCACTTCTTCACTCCCTATCATTAAGCTAGGAGTTGACGTAGTCCAGTCCTTAGCAGCATCTTACATTTTCTAGGGGCGAATCGCATGCCAAACACACGAAGATTGCTGCTCACGGTGTTCAAAAGACTCTGCATTTTGCCATCATCCTCCCCTAACAGGACTATGTCATCTGCATATTCTAAGTCCATAAGACTGTTCCCTGGTAACAAGTCGATTCCTAAGTCATTACGTTCAGTTAAGGATACTTCCACCAGCATATCTATGATGAAGTTAAACAGAAATGGGGAAAGTGGACATCCCTGTCGGACACCACTGGTTGTTACCAATTCAGATGACAATTCCCCATAAGCCCTTACACGACTACGTGAGTTTGAATAGAGTGCCTTGATTAGTGCAATGTACTTTCTTGACACTCCCTTCACAGTCAGACATTGCCATAGTACCTTTCGATCCACGGAGTCGAAGGCCGCCTTCAAATCAAGAAATATGGCAATTGTTGGACGCCGAAAAGTGTGTCTATGTTCTAGAATCTATCAGAGAGTGAAGATATGATCTATGCACCCTCTACCTGGTCTAAAGCCTGCTTGATTTTCCCTCGTTTGTTCCTCCCAAGTTTCTGCTTAGTCTGTGCATGATTACTGAGCCTAGAATTCTAGAAACTATGTTCGTTAATATCACATCATCTATGGTGTAGATGGGATATCACATCACATCCTCCCCTCCCACACTTTATTCTGTATTATTAATCCAGGAGTCAGTGTAGACCAGTAGTGAAAAGGAGATCAAATCACATTCCAAATATTCAAAGCTGTCTACTCAAGCTGTTCACAAGACTTCAACCGAGGAGGACAATACCATCCGTATACTCTGAGTCGGGTAAGAATGCTCCCTAGACCCAAATAGAAACAGATACAAGTACATTCACGTCTTGCAGATAACATAACATAACATAAGCTTTATTCCAAATCAGTACTTGTGATACAGAATGGAATTCTCAGCATTTTACTACAATATTGCATCCAGTTTTTTACATTAACAATAAATAAAGTTCTACATAGTTTAAAGTTATCTCAACAACATATTAGTATGTCGGTAGCAAAGCCAAAATTAAAGTGTTTGAAGGAGTTAGAAAAGTAGATACTACTAGCATATTTACTGGCGTAAGCGATAGCAAAATGTTCGAGATGTACAGAGTGTGAAAGAACGAACAAGAATGTTTTAAGTACAGTTTGCAAGGAAGAGAGAAACAAAACAGCACATAACAAAAATGAATACAGAATGAAGAGCGAGAAAACGTTGTACCTATAAATGATGTGAGTTGGAAAGACAAGATCCATTGGTTCTACTGACTATTTAATAAGTTAAAGGTTTCATGCCTGATGCATTCTTTATCGCACAGAACACGAGCTAAGTAGGGTATGGATGAGTTTTTGTACTTACTAGTGCGGGCATATAGTTTCCTATATAGGCTTCTTGTTTTCCCTGAAGAGATACATGGGGAGAGTTGTGAATGTAGAGGGTGTTGTGAGTCAGATAAAATGGATTTCGCCCATTTTTCACATGAGTCCATATGCCTGTCCACCAGAATATTAACTAGCTGGCTAAGTGGCAAGCTGCTTACCCTGCTGACAACCTTTAACATCCTACGTAATAAGGTATAGTCTTTCTTCAATAGCCCAGGAAAGACTAAGGGGGAGCAATAGAGAATAATAGGCAGAATACGGGAGTTAACAAATTGTAGGAGTAAGGGTTGGGTTACACCAGAATGTCTTAACTTCTTGATGTAGAAGGTAAGACGGTATATTTTCTTGGAAATCGTCAAGATATGAGACGACCAGGAAAGATCAGAAGATAGAGTGACGCCTAGGTATTTAATTTCCGACTTGGTTTCTATTTCACTGCCATCTATGTTGCACACCTCGTGAGTGCTAACCAGTTTGTTTAGGTCAGATTTATGCCTAAGGGTGAAATTAACTGTTTGGCATTTGGAGGGGTTTAAGGTTAGACCGTTTTCCTTGGACCATTGGCTAATTTCCGATAAGAAGCCATTTAGTTTAGAGCAGTCACTTTGACATTTGACAGGTAAAGACACAGTTAGGTCATCAGCATATTTGACAAAGTTAATGTCATTTGAAGACGGTAGGTCATGTAGAAAGAAAGAAAAGAGAAGTGGGGAGAGTACAGCACCTTGGGGGACACCAGCTTCTGTGAGCACAGCAGAGGAGGATTGGCCTTTGTATACGGTGTACTGCATTCTGTTTGAAAAGTAGGAATGCAACCAGTTAGTGACCCAGGACTCGGTTTGTGTCATGGAGAGCTTATTTAGCAAGAGACTTCTAGGTACAGAGTCGAAAGCAGAAGTAAAGTCAAGAAACGTGCAGCGGACATATTTGGCACCTTTGTCTAATGATGAGACAATACTGTTGTGTAAGACGGCTGCAGCGTCTAAAGTACTCCTACCCTGTCTGTAGGCAAATTGTTTGGGGTCTTCGAAGCTTTTAAGGGAGGGTTCGAGTTTAAGAAGTACTAGTTTTTCCATGAGCTTTAGAAACGGGGAAGTGATGGCGATGGGTCTGAACTTTACGTTCTTGCTATTGCCAGGTTTAGGGACAGGGACTATTTTAATGTCTTTCCATGGAACAGGTACAACGTTTTCACGGAAAGAAGCATTTAGTATATTAGTTAGAGGAGAACATAAAGCATCTGCACATTGTTTTAGAACATATGCAGGTATGCTATCAGGGCCAAGACTATGTGAGGGCTTAAGAGATAACAATAACCATCTGATAGAAATGCTGATTCCACCTACCTTCATTGAATAGCCTTTAGGACAACCCATATTCACATCAATACCCATTACATCATTTTCTCTGTCTAATGCATAAGATTTAAAATGAATACGATCACTTACAACATTCTCGCTGCTTGTAAAGCTGTTCCAGGCTCTGGTGTCCCCTATATAAATTATCATTCATTAAATAATTAAATAATGGAATGGACAACACACATACCAATTGGACAATAACACGATCCCTTTCTTCAGATGATGTACGAAATGTGATAGAACCATCAGGGAGAATAAAGTCAATCGTGTTCAACTCATCTAATGAAAGAGATGACAATAAAGGGTTGACAAGTGTTGAATGAATGAAACTCACGATTTATAATTCTTGATGAACGAATAATTCTTTGGTCAATTAGCTCCTGGAAAAGAAAATATTCAGAAAAATAAAAAAAAAGACAAAAAGTTATTAGAAGGACTAGACGCATGATTTTAGTCTTTTGGAAGTGGGTAGAGGAGAATGATGCTCAGGAAGGCTTTGTGTGCTTTTGGAAGTGTGTGTGTGGGGGGGTTGTTACTTTCCGGCTGCCCACACCGAGGAAGTCTATTGATTCTTCGGGTACCTGAAACAGAGAGAGAGGGTTAGTGTTGCGTGACCATAGAGCCCAGGGGACAGTTGCTTGAGGCCAGTCACACACGGCCTGTATGAACTGGTTTCTTGGTTTGGTTCCTTATTTGTAAACTTACCGCCGGTTACGGACTACCCCGTAGGTAGGGTAAGTCGGGATGTACAATTTTCACGGTCGACCTTTTCTAACCCCCTCTCTCCAGAGCGGAGGGACAGCATACTGGTCATCTGAGGGAAACACCTTACTGCGGCTGTTACATCCCTGTTCCCCGGCAGTACGACTTCACCCTCAGACCCCCAGCATAGGGTAAGAAAGATTATTACACAATCCCGGTAACTGCTTTTAGTCTAATCGCTATCCTAACAACCCTCCTGACATAGTAGGACGTGCAGGAACATTGGTTCCAACCAGTGTAGCTTGTTGGGTCATTGCGATATGCAAGCCCGACCGCCACGTCAAGGTAACAGCTATCGGTCGGGGATGATTTTAGTGACTGCCTAGTGTCATGTCACATCAAAAAGTATCCATTGTAGTCCTACAAGAGGTGGACAATCGCGCGACCGAATAGTTCAGTGGTGGTAACGTCTCTCTGACTGCAGAGCACTGAGTGATCCAGGTTCGAATCTCAAAAGGGACATGAGTCCCTTCAAGGTGATTGCAGATGATACGCCTTGTTGTTGACACCAAGTGCCAACAACAAACGCGACATCCAAGTCTAAGGCTACCTAAGGTCGACTGCCTCCAACCATAGAATAAAAATTTAGAGTGCACCGTGATGGTGACCACATCAAAAAAAGCAAATGACTGATAGAATTCAGTCTACAGAAACACCAAGAGCCAGGCGCATGATATTAAGTTACCATCTGATGTCCAGTTAAAGTACAATTAGGTATTTATCATACATAACCTGAAGTCCTTGGGTTCCATCGTAGATGGGATCACAATGGCGTATTATTGCTGAAGAGTCCCAAACTAGGACGAAATAGTCATCTAGTGTTTCAGGGGCTATTCTTTGAACTCAATTACCCCGAATAGGTAATCCATGTAGTAAACTATGAGCCATACTTATCACATGAGGGCTGATGTGATATCCCCCCCCAGTCGTCCAAGGCTGAAGTCGGCGGATAGGAGTCTCGAACCCCAGGTCCAGTTGACTAAAAGTCGAGTAGTCTTTTATAATTAGGATAATATTTTAAGCAAACCCAAAGATTAATGCTAACATTAATTGTTAAAATTTGTATTCATGGTGATTGTGGATAATCATCTTGCTTGAAATACTACTTAAATTTAGAAAAAAAACTGTTACATATGGGCACTTATAACGGATATATGTCCATAATTCAAGGTCACCACATACGATTTAATAAATCACAAGGAAAATTAGTTAGAGAATCAATCGGTTAGTTAAAACTCAACTTAATTCAATAACCCCCTGTATTTCCAAGCAGTAACTTCATCCTGTAAAAACAAACACTGCTACAAAAACTTTAAGCCACTAGCTTGAAGGTGCCCTATGTTCCACTGGGGAACGTGAGGAAGAAAAAACTATTGTATGAGGGCTATGAGAGAGAGGGAGCTACCCGGCAGTCTGAAATTTAGTAGCTAATGTGGGACTGAAAGTGTCGAGTTTAACTATTTGAAAGTAAGTTACCCGGAACAGTTTTCTTTTTTCCCTTAATGACTACACTTATTGTGTATGTGGTTGATAATGCACACTAGTTAGTTGGTTAGTTATACAGGCTGGAGTATGCGGAGAGGGGCTCGAACTTGAGATTTAACAAATGGAAACTATTACTATAATTATTTCCTTTAATTCATAGAGGAACATAGGGCTTCAGCCAAACATCTCCACTGCGTTCGGTTTTCTGCCAACGTTTTCACCCCGCTCCAAGTCTGTCCACATGTTTTTATCTCCTCTTTACATGACCTCCTCCAAGTCACCCCACCCTCACACTGACGAACAACTAGTTCGCTGCTTCCCTTTCGGGTTCCACTCGAGCAATGGCTTGTCTAGTGATGTCACTTGATGGTTTCCTCAGAGTATGGCCAATCCATCTCCATTTCTTCCTGCCTATTTGTTGCACAATCGGTTCTTGCTGGGTCGGTTCATCCATTGCTAGATGTCGCTCCTTGTTGTTGATCTTTTCTGGCTGGCCATCTGATCTTGAGTATTATGAAGGTCTGTAGTTTGTTTGAGGTGCTCTTTATGACGCGCCAAGTCTCTGATCCGTAGAGTAAGGACCACTGACTTCACATTGGAGTTGAAAATCTGGATCTTATTTTTGATGCTGAGTACTGTTGACCTCCACATAAACTTGAGAGTAATGAAAGCTTGAATATTTTTTGAATTTTTGATTATGGCTTGATTCCACACCGTATTTTTGGTACAAGTATGGAATTTTCAGCATGTGATATCGGTAGCCCAAATTTTGCAGGCCGACCAATTGATATCAGGTGTGCGTCGGTAGCGGATCGAACCCAGGAACATTTGCATGGTATGTATTTCACTAGATAGTGTTTTTTTAATCCTATATTTCCCCAAATTCTTATACTTTGATAACATGAATTGCTAATGATAAGAATAATATACAGAATGAATTCTACGGCAATGCAGACTAATGTTTGCATTAAAGGTGATTAGTTGTCCGTAACTAAAAATAGCAATTCTACACTTGACAAGGCTTGTCTTGCTTTTCCTATTCTTGCCTTGACATCCTTGTCAGTTTCATCCGCCTGTAGTTAAAACGATGCTTCCCAGGTAGGCAGATAGGTAAAGGAGGTTGTTTCTTTCAGGTTCCTCCCATTTATGCTGGCTGATTGTTGTCTGTTGTTGTTGCTGATAGTGTTGACCAGAAATCTTCATCACCTACCTCTGTTTTCTCTATGTTCACCTGAAGTCCTATCTTTGATGCTTCTTGTGCCAGCTTGTTGCTTTCCATTTGCATATCTTCCAGTTTGTGGGAAATCAGACATATATATGACATCGGTGAATTCCAGATCCTCCAAGTTGATTTTGTGTGAGTCCATTTTATGCCTGTTTCCTCATTTCCCGCCGTTGTCTGTCGCACTATCCAATCTACTACAATCAGGAAAATCATTGGCGATAGTAGACAGCCTTGCCTCACTCCCATCCTCACTTCGAAGTCTTCCATAAGCTTCCCTTTGTGGATTACTTGGCATGCAGCATTGTCCTAAAATTGTTGGATGAGATGTATAATTGTCGATGGCACTCCGTAGTAGCGAAGTAGTTGCCAAATCACCTCTCGATCGATGCTGTCAGCTGAAGGCCTTTTCAAAGTCGATGAAGTTGAGATAGAGAGGTGAATTCCATTCCATGCTTTGTTCAATGATGATCCTTAGTGTAGCGATTTGATCAATACATGACTTGTTTCTCCTGAATCCAGCTTGTTCCGGTCGAAGTTTTTCATCCAGGGCTTGAAAGAGTATTATGCATAATAATAATTTGCTTTATTCCAAAACAGTACTTGTGATACAGAATGGAATTCTCAGTATTTTACTACAGTATTGCATCCAGTTAGTACATTAACAATAAATAAAATTCTATATAGACTAAGGATAATCTCAATTAGTTTTGACGACAAAATATTGGCATATCGGTAGCAAAGCCAAAATTGAACAGTGTTTGAAGGTGTTGGAAAAGTAGATACCAGCATATTTACTGGCATAAGCGGTAACAAAAACGTATATATATACAGAAAGTGTGAAAGAACGAAGAAGAATGTTTTAAGTAGAGTTTGTAAGGAAGAAAGAAACAAAGCAGCACATAACAAAAAAAGAGAAAACGAAAAGAAAGAAAGAAAACATTGTACCTATAAATGATATGAGTTGGAAAGACGAGATCCAATTGTTTTACTGACTATTTAATTATTTATAAGTTTCACACCTAATGTTTTCTTTGTCGCACAGAACACGAGCTAAGTAGGGTATGGTTGAGTTTTTGTGCTTACTAGTGCGAGCATATAGTTTTCCATATAGGCTTCTGGTTTTGCCTGATGAGATACAAGGGGAGAGTTGTGAATGAAGAAGGTGGTGTGAGTTATATCGAATGGATTTAGCCCATTTTTCACATGAGTCCGTGTGCCTGTCGACCAGAGTATTAACAAGCTGGTTAAGTGGCACGTTGCTCACCCTACTGGATGACGTTTCCAACACTATTCATTCGGCATGACATGATACGTATGATCGCGAGAGAGAAAAAAGGAGGCCATTTAAATTAGGAAATTCACACTTATAACATACCTCAGAGAAAACATAATCCGCTCCATATTCTAAGCACAGAAGACGCATAGGATGTGTTGAAACACGCACCATTGGTGCTAAAAAAACTTTGCCCCTTGGATCAAAATTGGAACGATCCTATAAAAGGAAAAGAAAATTTCATTCATCATTCGAAAGAGACTATTAGTAGTAGAGATCAATACATGACAAGTAAAACACTTTCTCTTAAAAATCATCCCAATGATAATGTTGCTTACATTTTGTGTTAAACTTCCCTATAGGTACGGGAAGTGTGTGTGTGGGGGGGAGGGGGGAATTAATCGACAAGGTTATGAAGTTACATTGACTGAGATGGTTAGGACATTACCTTACTCAACCTACAATGTTAGCTGACTGACAATGGAATGATTAAGTAGGAAAAGACAAAGTTAGTGATTTTCTCAAAGCAAAACATAGATTCATCGGTTAATCAAACCCATACTCGTTAGTCTAAGCCAGCCAACCACGTAGGCAGGTATGGACTACTAGCTGGTTGGGGACCTCGGGAGGGTAAGAACTGATTAATGAAGGCTAGAGACAATTCCTGATATGGCTGGCTAAAAACCCTCGTTCTCAATGAGTAGCGCAGATCCATCCACTTTGTGATTTATTTCTCATATCCAATAAAACTCTGCTGTTCTTCCATATTACTAAAGTTTCCAACCAGTGGCTTTCACCGTCCCAAGGACCCCAACCAAGAAGTCTACACCTTCCTACGTGGCTTAGACTAACTGTTGCAGATTTCATTGACTGGCGCCACGTTTTTGTTTGACCTCCGCTAGCTCTTTTCCAGCCTGACCCTATATCAGCTAACATTGCCCATCGAGGAAGGCGATGACTAGGCATACGTAACAATTCGTTCTTCTGAAACTTACAAAACCCATTTAAGAAACCACTTCAGTTTTTAGTAGCGTTGCAATACTTATACTAAAGCAATACGTCTAATCGCTCATGAGAACATCGAATACAGTACTGAGAAAAGCTACTCTTAACAGAATCCACGTTCACATTGGCCACCGTCATCAATTAGAAGTACAATAACAGTTATTCCCGAGGCGATCACGAAATGTACACATGTACATTGTACAGGAGACGGTATTTACCGCAGAATTTTGAAATCTATAAATACATTTTGACGAGATGCAGTACAGATTCTCAAGGATGCATACTGTCTCCAGAAAAACACCGTAATTTCACAGCTGCGAACTCTGTCGGAGTACTAAAAGAATCAAAAAAGTGGTAGAAATGGTGTTGCCCATATGTTGAAGTTAACAAAGAATTATCTAAACCAAAGTTCGATCGGAATACTGTCACTGACATGGAAACCTATACGCACCAGATGTTTAACTAGCTGGAATGAACATCTTACTTATTTTTTTTCGCGGATATAAATCCATGTTGGAAAAACATTCAAAAATAACTTGGTGCCTAAACTCTTCATCCACAGACTGATATCTCCAATTATATTCACCAGGTATCAAGTACAACTTCCATAAACGGAACACTGAAGACGGTGACAGCACGGCCTTCCTTGACGAGTTATGCTAGCTGACATAGGGTCAGGTTGGAAAAGAACCAGTGGTGGTCAAACCAAAACATGGCTTTATCACTCAATGAAATCCACAACAGTTAGTTTAAGCCAGCCACGTAGGAAGGTGTAGACTTCCAGATTGGTTGGTTGGGGTGCTAGGGACTGTAAACACCAATGGCTGGAGACGATTGGTGATATGGCTCAAAATCCCCGTTCGCAATGGCTGGCGCAGATGCATCCACCCTTTGTAACTTATAATACCCAATGAAACTATATTGTTCTTCATTATTACTATTCTGTTCACCTCATACCTCTGTTTACTTCTTCTCTTGCTTTGTGTGCTACATGGAGTGTAGCGACACGAACTGCTGCATATCAGTGCAAAGTTCCATGTTGAAACCAGTCGGCTAGTAGTTTTATGACAACCGTGATAAACTGGAAAACATGGAGCTGACAACTAAAGAAACCAAACTTGTTGAGTACATAATTTCCTTTATTCATTGTTTGAAAACCAACAGGGATTTGGGAAAATGAAGGGATGAAATCAAATATGCCAAACAAACGCAATTGACGATTGTAACATATACCGTCCTGGACTCGTACATATTTTTCACTTAATTTAAAATAATTACCTTTAAATACATATATTCCTATTGTCAGAAGCGTTCATTTACCTGATATATGCACAGTGTGTTGTGATGCGCAGGTGGCTATGTACACGTTAAGTTGGAGCTTACAAAATTAGTTTAAAGTCTTGCATATGCATCGTCAAAAGAGAAAGTCAGCGAAGAGTACGTATATATTTAACACATATTTCATTAAATGAATGTTGTAATAGTATATAATGTAATTGTCATTAGGATGTCATAGGTGTTAGGCAAAATAACCTTAATTAGTTTTCAAAACTGTCTCATAATGTCTACTATAACTGTAAACGTTATAATGATCAATGGTGTTATTTATATGAATTACATGTGTATGTCTACAGTTGGCTACGCAGTGAACAGTTTATTTATAATTACTAAATTTTTATTAGATGTGTAGTGTATTTTTGAATGTTAACTGAGTTGAACACGAAACTAAGTTTTAAAAAGTAGCCATTAAGTGTGACTAATTATTTACATATGATTGAGTAGATTTCTACTCAGAATTTCACAAACTCATTGATTAGCCTTATCATTATTATTTAGTGAGCTCACTAGGTGGTCAGGCAACTGAGTAATTCCCTATTGAGAATGTTTTTTCCTTCGCTCACATTAACATCACGAAATAAACAGCAGGTATGTAAACAAGCAGGTATATACGCCGAAGAAAGAACATCACCTGGTTTCCTACAGTCATTAGCGTGTAAATGTTGAACGTCCTTGAATAAACTAAAACTCCCGCTAAACTAACAGATTCCAATATCGAATTCATAATGCCATTTTTACGAAATAGTGTGGATAAACTTTTTTATACTCACTAAGTGGTTAAATAGTGCATGTTTGCGGTCTTCCGTAAACTTCAGGGTAACTTACCCCTATGCTGACTCAAAAAAAAACCGCGCGAACTTTGAAAAGGGAGTTAATTTTCACGCTCTTGTTTATAATTGGCTTTTGTTGTGTTATACGCTTCAAAAGTCCACAGATTTAACTTTAAATCAGTTTATTCTGATCGAAGTTAGTTTACGTTTCAGATCTGAGTCTATTAATTATAGGAAGTGTGTTCTTATAACATAATAGCTACATATATCTATCTTTGTGCACTCATTAGCTTTTATCACTGATTTACAAAGGTTATATATATATTTGAAGTTGTATTTAACTTTTCCTGGTTTGTTTTAAATAAAATGCCTATCAAAAGAAACCGCTGCGGAAGGGCTATGTGCCAGTTTCCAGTGGATGAGGGAATGCAGTGTGATAACTGCAAGAGATGGTTTCACAGTATGTGCACGAACCTTACTCCAGCAGCATACAAACGCTGCTGCAAACCTCTAGCGAACTGGTTGTGCAACGACTGCTGTAGTACAACTAAACTCCGTATTACAGAAGCCATAGCTACTCTTAGTGGGGCTTTAAAGCTCATGGACTGCAAGCGTCCTCCACCACAGAAGAATACCGACTATTGCTCAGATAGCGATGACGTGACTAGCGTCATTGACAAAACAGCACATGTCCCAGATGCGACCTTGCCAATAAGTGAGTGCTCTACAGCACAGAAGAACACCCACCATATTACAGACACCCAGGTCGCCCCCACGATACTGGATGAGCCCTCCAGTGACAGTAATGGAAAGACTGCCGTGAAGAAGAGGCGTACCAGGGGTCGAAAACCTGCAGCTCCAGTCGCCCAGGGACTGGCGGAACAAGCCTCATCCACACCGGTGAGCAGCAGACAGACGAACCCCACAAAGATTAGCGAGGAGGACGCCAATGAATGGCGCACCGTAGTCTCTCGCAAAAAGCGAGATAAGGATAACACTTCGGCCACACCGCCCAAGAAGGATAGAAACACACTTACGCCTCAGGGCAAGAAAGTCACGGAAAGCAAACCCGATCTCTCTGATAGGTCTCTCATTCTCCACAAAGTGGAGGAGTCACTGGCCCTCGACCCTAAGACCAGATTCGAGCATGACCTTAACTTGGTCAAGCCCCTTTTAGACAAGCTACTGCCACAAACAGTATCAGGCATTACTATACACAGCGTATACAGAATAGGTCAAAAGCCTGACCCTACAGTAAGTGAACCTGTACGTCTCCTCAAAGTCGTACTAAACTCTAAAGCAGAGAGGGATGCTATTCTAAGCAACTCTCATATTCTCAAAGGATCAGGGATATATGTCCGCGCTGACTTAAGCCTAGCAGACCGTGTCAAAAGACAGGCTGCGGCACTAGAATTAAGTGAGCGACGCCGGAACGGTGAGAAGAACCTTAAGATTAAGGGTTTTCGGGTTGTCCGAGTTCGCAGTTTAATGATCCCGAAACCTCTGTGGGTGGGCCGGGGAAGCACCAATCTGAATTAACAGTCTGCTACACAAACGCCCGCAGCCTGTTAAATAAAAGGACTGAGCTGGCAAACATGATAGAAACCGGAAACCCGGATGTAATTATTATCACAGAGACATGGCTCACACCCGATGTCACTGACAACGAAGTTAACCTGCCAAACTTCGAAGTGCACAGGGTAGACCGACTAAACCGCAAAGGAGGGGGCGTAGTCATCTACCTCAAGAAAGGCTTAACCGTGCGTAGTATCGAAGCACTCGCCCACGAAAGTGAGTCGTGCGAACTTCTACGCTGCAGACTTAAATGCATAGGCCAAGACATTGACCTCATTGCTGTGTACCGCAGTCCTGACTGCAGTGCAGACGACTTCCTAATAGAGAAGCTAGGCTCCTGGACTTCAAAATGTCGAAGTCTCGTAGTCGGTGACTTCAACGCCCCAACAGTTGACTGGTCGAGCCTAACAACTCCATCTTCAGTCAACTCCTTTGATCATAAACTGCTAGAATCTAGTATATCGCTAGCCCTAGTCCAACATATCATTAAGCCCACGCGCTATGACTCACAGCACTCCTCGTCAACTCTGGACCTAGTGTTCTCACACGGTGAGGATGTGGATCTCATACAACATCTTCCTCCGTTAGGAAGAAGTGACCATGCTGTGCTCACTTTCAAGTTCACAGCAACGGCAGCAAGGGCCAAAACCCCAGCTCGACCAAACGTTTGGAAAGCTGACATAAATGCGATCGTCTCAGCAGCCAACTCAGTAAACTGGTACATCAATCCAGAGTCCCAAGTAGAAGCCGCATGGAACCAATTTAAGCAACTTTACGCCCAAGTAACTGTACCCTTCATCCCTTGGTCTGTTCCAAAGGGTCGGAAACATTCCCCCCTTGGATAAACCGGGAGATTCGTAAGTTACTCAGACGTAAACGCAAATGTTGGAACCTGTTTGCAACACTTGAGACTTCTGAGACCAGGGAATTATATACTACTGCTAGAAATAAAGCTATCGCAGAAATCCGCCAATCAAGGATGAAGTTCGAGACACACCTGGCCCAAAATGCAAAGGCACAACCTAAGAAAATTTTCTCGTACTTGAATTTCAGGAATAAAACACCCAATGGTGTCCCAAACCTGATTATTGACAAAGATACAATCGAAGAAGATCAAGAAAAAGCAGAAGCAATGGCAAACTACTTCTCCCAAGTCTTCACTCAGGAGTCATCACTGCCTATAGGATCAGCTCTGGCTGCATCAGAAGAACATGGGATAGATTCCGTTGACATCGACCAAGGCATCGTGCTCAACTTCTTAATGAAACTAGATGCAGGGAAATCAATGGGTCCTGACAGTCTTCATCCAAGGCTTCTCAAGGAGCTATCAGCCCACATAGCCGGCCCCTTGACCACGATCTTCAAGCTATCTCTCCTAAATGGAGTGTTGCCACGTGATTGGAAAGACGCCATAGTAACCCCCATACACAAAGGAGGATCAAGACAAAGCCCTTCAAATTACAGGCCTATCAGTCTCACCAGCACTTTAATCAAGACACTGGAAAGAATTATCAAGAAAAGCATCATGGCTTATCTGGAAAATAGCAGCTTGTTATTTGACGCACAGCATGGCTTCCGGAGAAACCACCCATGCCTGTCAAATCTCCTGACTGCAAGAGAGAGCTGGGTCAAATCAAAGGACAACAGAAGACCCGTTGACGTCGTCTTCATAGACTTCAGCAAAGCCTTTGATAAAGTACCTCACAAAAGACTGCTCATGAAGTTGGAAAGTCTTGGTAACAAAGGCAGATTACTAAACTGGCTCAGGGAATTCCTCATAGATAGGAGGCAGAGGGTCAGGATCAACTCAAAACTCTCCTCCTGGACAGCAGTAAGTAGCGGAGTGCCACAAGGCACGGTTCTCGGTCCTCTCCTTTTTATTCTGTATATCAGTGAGTTACCTCTGCTCACCGACTCCCCTATGGTCCTATACGCAGATGACTTAAAAATTTGGAGAGAGCTGAAGAGCAACAATGATACGCTCACGTTGCAAGAGGACCTCAACAAATAGTCGGAGTGGTCTGTTGAATGGATGCGCCCGATCAATGTGGCAAAATGTGCAACCATGCGCATTGGACAAGCAAGCACGAGCTCCTACGAACTAGAGGGAACAACACTTCCATCAGTTCAGACTCACTTGGACTTAGGTGCTATAGTTAGCCACGACTTAAAAACTACAGCACACTGTCACGCGGTGGCTGCACGTAGTTTCACGTCCCTATGGGCGATTCGCAGAGCCTTTACAAGAATTACCAGAGATATGTTCACCTCCTTATACACATCTCTGGTTAGGTCAAGGATGGAAAACTGCATCCAGGCCGCCAGTCCCTGTCTAAAAGGGGATTCACACATTCTAGAAAGTGTTCAAAGGAAGGCAACACGTATGGTTCACGGCATAGCTAACTTATCATACGAGGAAAGACTAGATAGTTTAAATCTCTTCCCACTGTCATACCGTAGGCAGAGAGGAGATTTAATCACAATGTTTAAAATTTTACAAAATGACTAGTGCCATGACCTATTCTCTCTTTTCCTTCCCACCAGGTCGGAACACCTTAGAGGACATAGCAGGAAAGTTCAAAAGCCAAGGAGAAATCATATTGCTGTTGAATACTGGTTCTCACATCGAGTCATAAACTCTTGGAACCGACTCCCAGAAGAAGTGGTGTCTGCAACCTCAACTGATTCGTTCAAGAAGGGTTTGGACAACCACAGAAATCTACTAGGAAAGGATTAACATATGCTGCAAGCCTTCTATCCTCAACCAATAAATCTGAAATCTGAATCTGAAATTCACTGTTTTAATCCATATTATTTTTTATTTTTGATTACAAACCGAATTTTTGGTACAAGTATGGAACTTCCAGCATGGATATCGGAAGCCCAAATTTTTCAGGCCGACCATAGATATCATGTGTGCGTCGGAAGGGGATCGAACCTCGGAGCATGTGCACGGTCGGCGAGAGTCCTACCCACTGTGCCACCGACGCATATTAGTAGGTAAAAGCCTACGTCCGTACACCTTACCAGTTACCTATGCTCGAAACAATCGATTAAAGGCATTGCCACTTCTTAGAGAAGTCGGTTTATTGAATTTGTAGTGCACTATTTTAGCATCAAATCCTCGCCTAGTTAACTAGCATGCTAGCTTTCTCGCCGGTCCCAAGCCCTGGTAAGGAGGGAGGTTAGGGCTTAAGGCTAGCAACCGTACGCCACTGAACCTATCAAACCGCTAGAGAAACTTCAACACCCAAAAAATATATTAAAAACACGAAAAATTTAAACAATCTTATTCTTCACTCCAATCGGGGAAAAGAAATGACACAGTGGGCTGGTGAAAGCCAACCT